GAGTGGGTTAGAGCTAGCCAATTGCGGTGGACCTCAAAGTCGGTCGACTTGCTGCCGAAAAAAAGGTCAGCATGGAGAGGGTTGAGGCGTTGGGCGTGTGGTGCGGCAGACGTACTATGCAGGAAACAGTAGCACCTTGAGCGCCGTGGCCACGACGGCGCACTGGGCAAGTGACGGATACAGCTCTGCCATGGCGAGACTGACAGCAGGTGAAGGCACAATGGGCAGAAAGCACAGATTAAGTTGAGGATCGTAGTCAGAGTCACGTGCTCGCTTACGGGCGAACCCCGGTGGTTGTAAGTAGTGCTTGGTAGTCAGTAGTAGCAAGCAGTAGCAAGCATACCAAGACAGCAGCAGCAGGGCAAGTGCCTGTGTTTGGAATCACACCCACGCACGCGGCTGGCGCGACGAGAGCAAACGGGCGAAGAAGCAAAAGCGGATTCGAGAACAATGCAAACGTGAACGGGCGACAGGGGAGAGTGGCTGGCAGGCGGCGCTGACAGTTTCGCATAATGGTGTCTGACGTTTGACACACGGCATAGGCTCCGCTCCGTCTTTGTTCCCCTGGGTGCAAATGCTCCACGTGAGCGGTTTCCTGCCTCGCACACCTGTTCGTTCCCCCCCCCCCCCCGGGACTAGGGGGAGGGGGTTTGTCTAATGCTAAGTACGCTGGAGACTGGAGCCGCAATTTGATCTGGACCCGCTGACGCTGGCGGTGGGTAAGTAGCATGGCAGGGCAGGGCATGACATGGCATGGCATGGCATAGCACGGCAAAGCAGCACTATAGTACTATGATTGTGGCGCGCACCCACGATGCAGCGGCACTGCACCATGTGGAGTGTGGTGTATCTAAGTAAGTAGGTACTTGGATACTAAGTACCGTTACTACTGTACTTGGAGCATGTATCAGCGTGGCCCGTCTAGTCAGGGACCAGAGCTGCACGTCTGCAATTACCCGCTGGCCGCAGCTGCTCGAGGCAAAAACGCTCCGAGCAAGAGACACGGTACACGGCACCCTCGCCCCGTCCAGCACCAGCACCTACTGGCAAACTGGCGGACTGGCACTGAACTGACATTGACACCGACACATTCACTAAACACTGGCACACACACACCCACACCCACACCCACACACCCCACGGCAGGGCGGCGCCTGGTGTCGAGGGTAGCATTGTCCGATTCAGTGGCGGGCCTGCGCGTTTAAAATAAGCAGAGCGCTAGCCGTCCGCTTTTGGCGGCCTCATTTGCGCCTGCCTCCTAATGGACCCTGCTAGTGAGCATTTCTCACCGACCTCCTCCTGCTCTCTCCTCCCCACCGTGTCAGGTCGCATCCCTCTTCTTCGATCCCTTCATTCATTACCTCCTCTTCTCCCCCGCATCGACGCTTCTACGCTCTTGCACAAGGCGCGCTTCTTTGCCCTTCCTTCTTGTCCTTGTCCCATCGTTTGGTGCACGTATCAACACAAGCCACGCGGGTTTCTTCTTCGCCAGCTCTCGGCCACAGCATTTAATTGCCTTTCACCCCCCGCCGCTGCCATTGGCCTTTCATCCTTACCTTGACCGTGTCGCCTCGCTCGCCCGCCGCCGCGAACCTGTGCCTGTGCACTCGGCATTCCTGCAATCCATCCAGTCTTTGCCTGGTTTGGTCGACAGCACTCGCCGCCATTGTGCCCTCCCCAGTGCGTCTCCTCACCTCCTTTCGCTTCTGCGCCATGTCAGACTAACCTCGCTTCCCAGATCGCTTCTTACTCATTGTAATACAGCATCATACTTTGCACGCCTAGCGACCATCCTGCAACCGGTTGCAACTTCCCCTTCTGCCATACATATTTCGTCGTCCGGTCCAACGAGTCCCGGGCGCAGTAATACACCTTCACCACGGCGGTTCTATCTCAAAACCCGCGGGACAGCTTCAGCCTGCCCCCGCACCTTCTCGATATGCAGCAACACGACGGTGCCCCTACCGCGCCCAGCGGTCCCCGTCTTCAGACTGGTTTCCCCAGGCAGGTCAATGGAGGCCATCACGGCTTTTCCCATGGTGCCTTTGCTACCAACCAGCCCGGCTACGGTGACAGGCACCCGGAGAGGGCCAACAACATGTCCATCAACACCGGCAGACTTGCCCCGGGCAACCAGAATGGCGCTGATTTGCAGACTCCTGGAACCGGTTTCGACATGAACTTCACTCCTCTGCTTCCTTCGCAGTTGCTTCTCGGCAGCCCTTTCCAGCCCGGCTCTCCCTCTGCTTTTGCGTCCCCGCAATTCCAGAATTTTGCCCAGTTTGCGAGCCAGAACCAATCGCAGCAGCAGAATCACCAGTCTAACCACGTCGGTAGCCCTCTGCAGCAGCCTCTGTCGCCCCAGCTGTACCAAAACATGGTCTCTCCTACAAGCGGCTTTTTCGGTGGCCCACAGTCTCCCACAGGAGGCTTTTCTGGTTTTGGCGCGCAGGGCCTTGGTGGCCTCGGCTCCTCCATGCCAATTGCCCCTGGCCTAGTCTCTGGAACCAGCAGGACCGTCTACTTGGGCAATATTCCGCCAGAGACATCTGCGGAGGAAATTTTGGGTCATGTCAGAAGTGGCCAGATCGAGTCTGTCAGGCTTCTTCCTGATAAGAACTGTGCCTTCATCTCGTTCTTGGATAGTAGCTCTGCTACGCACTTTCACTCTGATGCCATCTTGAAAAAGCTCTCCATCAGGGGTCAGGACATCAAGATCGGGTGGGGAAAGCCTTCGCAGGTACCCACATCTGTGGCCTTGGCAGTACAGCAGTCCGGCGCGTCTCGTAACGTCTACTTGGGTAACCTACCAGAGGACGTTACCGAGGACGAGCTCCGTGAGGATCTCAGCAAGTTCGGACCCATTGACACTGTCAAGATTGTCCGAGAAAAGGCCATTGGTTTCGTTCACTTCTTGTCGATCGGTAATGCCATCAAGGCTGTTTCCCAGCTTCCCCAGGAGCCCAAGTGGCAGGCTCCTAGGCGTGTATACTATGGCAAGGACCGCTGCGCATATGTTTCCAAGACGCAGCAGCAGAACGCTGCTCAGTACTTGGGCATTGCACCCGGATATGCACACGTTTTGAACGGCGCGGACCGTGATATGATTTCCAACGCCCTCGCTCAGCAGTCCGTAGCTGCGGCTGCAGTAGCAACCTCGGCTGGTGGTGTGAACAACCTGGGTAACCGAACTGTCTACCTAGGCAATATCCACCCAGAGACCACCATCGAAGAGATTTGCAACGTTGTGCGCGGCGGCCTTCTTCACCACATCAGGTACATTCCCGACAAGCACATTTGCTTTGTTACATTCATCGATCCCACTTCTGCAGCGTCCTTTTACGCTCTCAGCAACCTACAAGGTTTAATGATCCACAACCGCCGTCTGAAGATTGGATGGGGCAAGCACTCTGGCGCTCTTCCTCCTGCCATCGCCCTTGCCGTCAGCGGCGGTGCTTCCCGCAATGTGTACGTTGGTAACCTCGACGAGTCTTGGACTGAAGACCGTCTGAGGCAAGATTTCTCTGAGTACGGCGAGATTGAGTTGGTCAACACCCTGCGCGAGAAGAGCTGTGCCTTTGTCAACTTCACCAACATTGCCAACGCCATCAAGGCTATTGAGGCCATCCGAGGCCGCGAGGAGTACAAGCGGTTCAAGGTCAACTTCGGCAAGGACCGATGTGGTAACCCTCCCCGCCAGATGACCAACCAGCAATCACAGTCTCAGCAAGCCGGCAGTGATGGTCTCCAGTCGCCTTCACCCATCAACGGTCTGCACCCCAACCGTGCTGGTGCGTCGGTCTCGCCCACTGGCTCTGGCGCTCCTGGCTCTGGTCAGAGCACCAATGGACAATTTCCCTCTGTTCAAGCCCCTGCTTCAGGCAATATTCTGAACGCGAGCAGCAACAACAACCCGTTGATGATGTATCTCCAGGCCCAGCAGCAACAGGCTCAACAGCAACAGGTAGAGGCCAACATGCAACAACAGCAGAACCAGCAACAACAGCAACAGCAGCAGTCGTTCCAGTCGCCCCAAGCTGCCTTCTATGGTGCTGACTTGAACACACCCCAGCCTCACCACTCGCACAGCTCTCACCAGAGTACCTCAAGCTTTAGCCTGATCAACGGTACATCTGCTGGTGGCTCTGGAACTACCACTGTTGGCGGTCTTCTTGCGCCCTCGAACCTCAATTCTCGTGGTCAGCACTCCCGTGCTGTGAGCCTTCCCGCCTTCACCCAAGGGCCTTTCAACCACTCTATGCCACAGACTCAAGCTCCTCAACAAGGATCATTTGGTAGTCTGAGTTCGGGCATTGGTGGGTTTGGCAGCGGCAATGGTGGCTACGGCCTTGCGATTCAAGGTGATGGTGGCTTGCCTGGATGGGCTGAAGAGGAGGTTGGTGCGCAGTAAGCGCTCATGGCCATTTTGGATACTCGCCAATGTCATGTTCACATTAGCGATATCCGATTCAAATCTACGACGTCAACCTGTTGGTTATTACTCACCACTTACCTCACTTCTCCTTTCTTTCTTTCTTTTTGCAAATCTTTTTTGAACCTAGGGTACTCGCGGAAAGGGCGTCGCTCTATTGATCTATCCTAGATCTGACTCTTCAACTATGTGTTGTAATTTGAACATGCGCGTTCTTTGCCTTAATACTTGACCTTACTACCTTCGCTTTCTCTTTCTTTTCTTCTTCTTTTTTGATTCTTTCACACTTCTTCTTTTTCATGGCTTGACATGTTTTTGTTCATGTTTCTAGTTTAGATACCTGTAGGGATACCTAGGGACAAATAGGTGTAGGGGCATGAGACTAGCACCGGGTCGACATGAGTGTCTAGGCAGGAGTTCGCCAGTGATGTTGGCAATTGAATTTTGTAAAAGCTCAAGTGTGTGTAATGTTGCTGTTTAATTAGTGATGAATGCTGAATAAATGTGCAAATTCCTTTTCTTTTCACATGAACTAAGCACGGTTTTACTCAAAAACAGATCATCAGCATTACCTAGATAGGGCATTTGTGCATTGAGATACCATGCTAGACTCCCGTTGCGTACATGCTTTCTTGATTAGAATATGTGCGTGTCTCTAAGCTAGTCTTTGACGATTTTTACTGAGTAACCGGTTGCTGGGATATAGTCTACGCAGCATGCGATTGTGGAACGTTTCGCATAACCACACATGTAAAAGCGAGACATTGAATGCTGCTCTATCCTGTCTGAAGAACACCCCTCCAAAAAGAAGAAGACAAAAGAGCGGCCGTGTGAAACCTCAGCCCCGGATTCTCAATGCATCACACCACATATGCACCGCCTGTTCGCGCTGCTGCTCCCTCTTCACCTCAACCCTGGGCGCCATCATGAACTCCTTAACTTCCGAGCGACCCAGATCCTTCCCGTCCTTGATACGATTCCAGCACTCGCGAACAACCGCCTGCGCATATTCAAAATCAATGTCGTTCTGCTCGCCCGCATCCAACGGTGCACCATTCTCCACTGCTGAGTACGCTGCGTCGGGTCCCTCATCTCCGTCTTCTGCGCCGACAACGGTGGTGATGCAGAGAACTATGCCAGGAGAGAGCATTGTACCTGACTGTGGCCCCTCGCGTGTGGCGCGCAGTTCGCCGAGCTGGATGGTGCAGAGGCCCGCGGTGTAAGAGGTCCCATCGCGCACGGAGAGTACATGGCGCTGTGCCCACAGCGCGGAAGACTGGCTCCTTAGCATCGAGGCGTGCGCGTCTTGCTGGCGCAGCGGTATCGAAGCGGTAGTCGCCGTTTGCGCGGCTGGCTGCGCATAGACATATGTTCTGTTTGGGGCGAGGGTGGAGAGGTGCAGCATGTGCTGGTACGAATGTGGGTATGGCGCTGGTTTACCGTCTGCACCCACGGGCGGCTGGTAGCCTGGGGGGATCACGTCGCGGAATGCGCGGTAGGAGAGCGACCATGTTGGTTGGCGGGTGGCGGTTTGGAAGCTCGACTCTATGCTTTGAGTGAGGGTGTTTACGGTGGAGAGGGCGGCCTCGACGCTTGTGGAGGGGTTGGAGATGAAGTAGAGCCTTTGTATGTGTGTTTAGTTATGATTTCAATTGAGAGTTTGGTTAGGTAGCTATCTGGCTTGCTTACCCGCTGTACTTCATCGTGGAAGCGGAGGAAAATGAAAAAAGATGCAAGTCGGGCGATATATCTCAGGCACCGCGGCAGGTGAATGGTCGGACATGACGGAGCCGATGGTTTGGGGATCGGCGCATGGGCAGCTGTCTTGCCCTCCCCTGCTAGCTTCAGGGTCGGGGGACGCGCAACCGCGTCGGGAATCGGCACTCCAGCCTTGTCGTCTCAACCATGGGCTGGCCTGGCCATGCAGCTGCCATGCGTCTCCTGTCTTTCCCATCCCATCTTGGCCGCATCGGTGTCCTATCCTGAGCGTTTGAACGCCGCCATTACATATTTTTATAGAGTTTTTGTCTATTGATATTGTTCGAGCTCGTCTTTCCCCGCTTCTTCTGGCTTTCCCCGCCGCTATCTGCATCCATTGCGGCACCGCCGTTGCACTTGACTACTTTAACTTTGCTCTTATTTTTAGATCGTACACCTATTCCAACCCTTTGCTACATGAGACTCCCTCCATAGACTTCCTCTGGCTATCATGAGCCCCATTGTCCGACGCATCATTGTACTGTTCGTCTCCACGACATTCTTCATCCTCGCCTTTCGCCAACTAGGCGCTCGAAACGGACTCCCCTCGCCCACCTTTACCTCTTCAAATCGCATCACAAACCCCGTAGAATGGAAGAACGTCCCCTTGCGACATCCAGTCGCCTCGCTGGCGCCGTGGCCGACAGGCTCGCCTGCTGCCATCCCCAGGATACAACATGAGTTTGGAATTGAGACGGAGCATAACAAGGCAGAGAGAAAGCAGAGACAGGCGGCGGTAAAGAAGGCCTTTTTGCATTCGTGGCGGGGCTACAAGCAGCAGGCATGGTTGCAGGATGAAGTGACTCCGGTGACAGGAGGCTTCAAAAATGGCTTTGGACAGCGTGCAGCGACCCTGGTGGATGCGTTGGATACACTGCACATCATGGGGCTAGACGAAGAGTTTGAGGAGGCAGTCCATGCAGTCAAGAAGATTGACTTCACCACTACGGCTGTCCAGCGGCTGAATGTGTTTGAAACAACCATTCGCTATCTCGGCGGTCTGCTCAGCGCCTACGATTTGAGCAAAGGGAAACATTCTACATTGCTGCATAAAGCAGTCGAGCTAGGCGATATGCTGTACGCCGCGTTCGACACGCCGAACAGGATGCCTGTGACACGGTGGGACTGGGAAAAGTAAGCTTTGTGTGCCTCGTGTGTGCAACCAAACTGTATACTAACGACCAACAGCGCTGCCCTGAGTGGCCACCAAGAAGCCGATGCGCAGGCGCTCAGTGCGGAGATTGGATCGCTGACTCTGGAGTTTACCCGTCTCTCGCAGATTACAGGCGACCTCAAATATCACGATGCAGTACAACGCATCGCGAATCTTCTGGAGAAACACCAGAGTCGGACCAAGATACCTGGTCTCTTTCCTATCCTTGTCAGTCCTTTCCGTGAGGAGTTTGACACTCATGGCTCCTTTACTATGGGAGGCATGACGGACTCGCTGTATGAGTACTTGCCCAAGCAGCACTTGCTTCTCGGGGGAGCAACGGATCAGTATCGAAAGATGTACGAAAACGCCATTGAGCCAGCCAAGAAGCATTTGTTCTTCCGCGCCATGGTGCCTCACAATCAGAACATTCTGATTCCAGGAAACGCGCGAATTAGTGCTGCGGGCTCGATCAAGCTCGAGCCTGACGGTCAGCATCTAGCATGCTTTGCGGGCGGCATGGTTGGTCTTGGTGCCAAGATCTTCAATCGCACTGAAGACATGGATGTCGCCCGAAAACTGGTAGATGGCTGTACCTGGGCGTACGAAGCCATGCCGACAGGCATCATGCCCGAGACATTCAGCCTAGTGCCGTGTGTCAACGATGAAGACTGCGCTTGGGACGTTTCAAGATGGCATGGCGCTGTTAAACGCGCATATTCTGGTGCTCTGCATGCACAGCATTACGATGTTCAGGACGTGATCAAGGAAGAGGGGCTCCAACCTGGGTTCTCAAGGATTGAAGATCCCCGGTTTTTGCTACGGTAAGGAGTTTGACCTCTACCCTTTATTTATAGCTTCATCTAATGCTGGCATATAGACCGGAGGCCATCGAGTCGGTTTTCATCCTCTACCGCATTACCGGCGACACTGCGCTGCAAGATACTGCCTGGCGCATGTTTGAGTCCATTGAGAACGCTACCATGGCAGAGTTTGCCCACTCGGCTATTGCTGACGTGACTGTGCCCAAGGGACAGGGTCCACTTAAGTTAGATGAGTGTGAGAGTTTCTGGATGGCGGAGACACTCAAGTATTTCTATTTGATTTTTAGCGAGCCGAGTCTTGTCAGCTTGGATGATTACGTCTTGTAAGTATTGGGCTCTGGTCAACGCCGCGACCATATTTTGATTGTGACAATGCTGACGGTTGGATAGTAACACTGAGGCCCATCCGCTACGCCGGCCAAAACAGACTTGATGGCCTGGATATTTTTAGTGGATATTCTACGATATCAAGGAAATCTAGCAAATGTACATGTGTATATATGATTATGGGAGTGCGGACACATTTTGTTTTGCCTCTTAGCAGTATATCTGGAAAATACATCTGAGAAGAATTGGGCGAACGCTATAGTCGAAATTTCATATAGACATAGACTATCGCCTGTTTGCCTCGCCGTTTCACAATACACAGAAATGCATGATATATGCCAAGACTTTCCCGTTTAGATTTAGTGTACTACAGCTGCACTTTAGTAGCTTAGTAACTCCTGCTTATATTCTCCGTCAGCGAGATGTTGTGTTTCAAATCCATGGTGTGACTGGCTATAGACAGTGGAATGCGGGGGTGTTTTTGTCCGACTGCTACCGTGCCCATAGCCCTTTCGAGCACAGTGCAGAAGCAAACCTGAAAACATCTATCTATTTGCTGGATGTCATCTACTTCACGACGCGAGAGGCTGACTATGTCCGGTGCATAACAAGTAAAGTTTGGCCAAGAAATATGTTGGGGATTACATTCTTCTTCGATGGCAACTTGGCATGTAGCTGGAGACGAGATAGTCCACGAACAGTACCGGATCACAAATCGTTGAAGTATATAAATTGTTTTGTTCTCGGACTTCACCAATTCTCTATCCATATGCAAATTCTAAACTAGTCCCAAGTCAACTATCCATCTGTACAGAATCATGACAAAGACAATCGCTGTTATCGGCGTAACAGGGAACCAGGTAAATATGAACTAAACCCACCACCACACCAACATCGTTACACAAGACACTCAAACCCCCAGGGCTCATCCGTCGCCCGCGTATTCCTCGCCGAGCCTGGATGGAAAGTCCGCGGCATCGCCCGCGACCCGTCCAAGCCCTCTGCACAAAAATGGTCGTCCCAAGGCGTCGACATCGTCCCCGGCAACCTCGACGACGTCTCCTCCCTCAAGCAAGCCTTCCAAGGTGCGAACGTAATCTTCGGCGGCACAGACTTCTGGGGCCACCTCAACGACCCAGCCACACAAAAGCTCGCCGCCGAGCAAAACCGCACCCCAAACGAAGTCGCATACGACCGTGAGGTATCCCAGGCGAAATCCATCATCGACGCCGCAGCCGCCAACATACAAACGCTAGACCGTTTCGTGCTCTCCACTTTGTCCGAAGCGAGGAAGTGGAGCAACGGGACGATCAAGTGGAACTTGCATTTCGATGCCAAAGCCGAGGCTGTGAATTACCTCAAGTCTACGTATCCGGATTTGCTGGCTAAGACGAGTTTCGTGCACTTGGGGTACTACGCTAATAACTGGAAGTCGTTTAGTGGGACGCCCACGAAGCAGGCGGATGGGTCGTTTGTTGTTAGTTTGCCCATGAGTGGGGAGAGGAAGATACCCATGGCGGATCCGGTTGCGGATACTGGTAAGATATTCACGTCTCTTCTTTTTTTTCATGTCAACTTGGATTTTTTTTGATGTTGCAGAGGCTGATATGTTTGAAAAGGCCGTTTCACCAAAGCGCTGGTCGAATCGCCTCCGGGTATTACTCTGAGCGGCGCCGGCTCGTTCCTTTCGTTTAATGAGTGGTGCGAAATCTTTGGTCGCATTAACAATGTTAAATGCGTCTTCAAGACTATACCTCGCAAGGTGATGGAAGAGGCAATGGGACCTATATACGGGCTTGAGATTGCAGACATGTTTGAGTACTTTGACAAGTATGGGTTTGATGGTGGGGCTGAAGTTGTCTTTCTGTGGGATCTGGGGGTCAAGGTCAAGTATACGACGATGGAGGAGTATATGAAGGGTGAGGATTGGAGTTCTGTGCTGTGAAGTCCTTCTTTGGCTGAAGCTGAGTATACCATGGGTAGTGTACGGATTGAAAGCTATTCTCGTTCATGTGATGACGACCCTTGCGCGACAATGTTTTGTCACATATTGTCGACTTGTATGAGTTCTCTTCTTTGTACTGCTATGATCTTCTATACCGAGATCATTAGTGGGATGCAGGCCTAGTTGGGTGCGGGGTACATGACACGCGCGGTTAGTGGCAGCCGTGACAGCGACGATCAACTCTGTCACCCACATCTTTATCCTCATATATCTAGTCTCTTATAACCCAAAATACGACTAACTATATGCAAGGGTCACTGGTGGCCTCCGGAAGCGTCCCATCGTCCGACGATTGGTCGGCAATCAGAGTGTTGCTTTTTTGTATCTACCAAGCCGTTGACCTCATTGTCCCTCTGGCAACTCGATAAAATCAGCCCATTTTCACGCGAGCCAGATATCGAAGGTCAATTGCACATGCTGCTTCTCTCTTGAGAACCTTACTTTTTCCATGCAAGCCCATTGCAGCAAGGGCTCATATGGTTCAGGAACATTATTCCGACTTGGTCAAATGCATGTCACTGCTCAGAGCAATTCACTAACCTTGACTCCGGATATCACACCACTACGGCACTGCAAATGCCGTAGTTCCCCAATCACATCGTTCCATCACAAAGAGTCCTAGGTAAGTCTAGAATGCCGATAGTAACCTTTGTACAATGCCGACAGCGGCAAGCCGCTCAAGTCAGCCGCGCAGCATGCACCGCACAGGGCTCGACTGAGAACCTAATCGATTGGTAGACCAGTGAAAGATAGCCAACTCAATCTGCGCACTCCTCTGCCAAGAGGATTGGGATTTGGATACCAGACAAGGTTAGCTTCATGCGTTCGCGCAGCGATCTACGCTGAGGGCACCCCCACCAGCATTATGCTAATGATGTACACACGGCGATACGGACCTATAAGTTGCAGTCGTCATTCATGGGGTAAGATGTGCCATATGCGATCGCCTGCGTATCATCGCAGCCTGCTGATGGCTCTTTTCTGGGTAGTCGTGCATAGCACCTTGTAATACATGTACTTAAGCGGAAGGCGCCCCACAGGTTGCATTGATAAGGAATGTGTATCTTGTTTTGCTTGCTGTGAAAGGCGTTTGGCTTGATCCATGCTAGCTTTCGTTTGTTTTATCAGTGTGTAGAAGGACTGGGCCTATCTTGACGATTTCAGCTTGGGGCCGTACAAATCACTTTGTCCCGCCACATTTGCGGGTATTCTGAGAGCCGAGAGAAAAGTATCGGTGCCAAAGAACCAAGAGAAAAAAAAGAAATTAAAAACGAGTACGTAGTCTGAGATGCCGTTCAACCTTTTGCTGCTGCTGGGCGCGGCTTTCCTCGTTGGCTCGACTTTAGCCTTTCTTCGAAGAAGCCGACGCACCATTCTCCTTGAGCGCCTTCGCGCTGGCGGGCGAAGAGTATCAGGAGCAAGAACCCCTCCAAGATCTCTATCACCCAGCCAAAAGACGGAAATCCCTCTCGAAGTCGACTACTCTGACACGTTCCCGCCATCACGGCGATCAGCACTAGCCGGAATCTTGAAAGATGGAGAACTCGACGAGCCAGCAGAGGATTGGACGAAGAACATGCTACGAATGGAAATGCCATACTTGAAAGCCGACGATGCAAAACGTCTCCCCTGCGGTTTTTCCGTCAAAGAGATCAAGGCTCTCGGCGACTTCCCTGACTATGCTACCCTCAGCGGCGTACCGCTTCCAAACCCATATCCCGAGTTCGACATAAACAAGGCACTGCCTCGACCATATCGACCGTTCCGATGGCCATACCACCAGACCATGTGTGAGTCTTCCTAAAAACCCCCCCCCCCCCCCAACGACATATCTTTGAACTCTACTAAGAACCAACACAACCAGCCCTCAGCAAACTCCAACCCGATTGGTGGATCGAGCTCGAAAACACCTACACAGAACGCATCCAACAACGCAAATCCCTCTTCACCCAACATGGCACCGACGTCCTTGACGCCCTCCCCGGCTCCGAGCTCGCCTGCAAAGAACTAATGGAAACAGCCGTCCAGTTCCTCTGCGCCCGCTACCCGCACTACTTCTCCCTCTCCCCAGACAAGTCCATTCTGCGAAACGGTATTCTGGACTCGGAAACCAATATCTCCGCCACACACCCGTTGCACGTGCTCCTCGACAATGTCCCCGAGGACTTTGCCATCATGCTGCGCGATGAGCGTAGCGGCCGTTATGTACTCCGCGCAGGCGTCATTTGCAGTGCGTTGGGCTGGAATCTAGGAACGAAGCTAGGGAAGCATCTCGCGGATATTCATGCGCCGATTCCGGATTATAAGGAGAAAATGGCGTTTTCAATGGATAGGTATGTTTCTTCTTCTTCCCTCTTCCATGTACCTCAACCCTTTTCCACTCCCAAAAAAAAAGGCGTCAGAGCAAAAAAAAGAAAGAGTCAGTGTGAAGTTGGTAATAGATTGGAGGGAAAAAAAATATTTGCTGATAGAAGGGAAAAAGATACTTTAGCAAAAAACCAACCGACAAACCCATCCAACGCGGCTCCTGGGGCCTCGAAATAAAAACTCCCCTCTACGCCCCCCCTTCTTCCCCCCTTCTCGCCCACCGCAACCACCAACTACCCCCTTCCGAACTACCCCTTGAGGACATCCACTTGCGCGTGGACTGGCAGACGCTGCGGCGCCTCCCGCTCTCGGGGGCTGTGGTGTTTAATTTCAAGGCCGTGTTTACGCCGGTGCAGCAGTTTAGGGATGAGCCGCGTATCCCGGGATTACTGTTGAAGGTGTTGGAGGAAGGAAAAAAGGAACTGATGGAGTACAAGGGGACGTGGCATGTGGAACACGTGGTCAAGGATGCGTTGAGGGCGTGGCATAAGGAGCAAGCAGCGAAGGGGTGGGTGGAGGAAGGGTGGGATGCTGAGACGTTGGGGGAGAGTCCTTGGTTTGAAGGGTGGGAGGGGAAGTGGAGGGGGATGCAGGGGTTTTGAGAGAGTTGGTTGTCGATGGAGGTGGGAATTTGAAAGATGTATTTTTGTAGGAATTTTCAAAGAGGGATTGATGAGGGGGACGAAGAAGAACTTCACTTCCCCAGTCTCTTTGCTATATCCCCTCGATAAATCCATGCTGCAGCTCCTGCAGCCACCGCTCCCAGTGTTCCGAGGACCAACGTTGTGTTACTCACGTATGACTCCTCGTGCACACGTCCGATCTTAGTCGTCTGTTTTCCAGTCCCAAAGACGACCTTGCTGGCTCTCATTCCACCCTCCTTCTCAGCCCCTACACCATCACCATTTTGTACAGGCTTGACGCTTGTGACCTCGAAATCCTCCCAATCAACCTTGCTCATCATCTCCTGATATTCAACCACCGTGCCTGACCAATTATTCGTGATTCTCCCTTCGCTATTCTTGTACCAACTGCTACAGTTCGGGTCCGCAAATGAGCTCGTGGCGAGTTTCTGCTGGATCTCATCATTGTACGCTTTTGTACGCTGGGCGTTAGGCACGAGGCCGATTCGCTTGCCACGGCTACGGGCGTCGAGGACAGCAGCAACGAGGGCATTGAGGTAACGTGACTGGGCCTCGATCATGAGGATGATTGAGTTGTGGCCTAAGTTCGTGTTGGGCCCGTAAAACATGCCAAAATTAGGTAGTGAGGGAATGGAGGTGCCGTATAGGGCGTAGGCGCCGCCGTTCCAGATGGAAGAGAGGCTGCGGTTTTGCGTCCCGGTCACGTGGATGGGGTGTAGGAACTCGAGGGTACGGAAGCCCGTGGCGAGGACAATGGTGTCATGGTCATGGTGTGTGCCGTCTTCGAGCTCAATACCCGAGTCGGTGATTCTGCGTATCTTTATGGTCTCAAGCTGTGTCTTGGGACTCGCGAGAGCGGGAAAAAAGTCGTCGGATATGATGACGCGTTTGCAGCCTGGGTTGTAGCCTGGAGTGAGTTTTTCCCAGAGATCAGGCCGGTTGGGAATCTGCTTCTTCATCATGTCCTTGCAGGCGGCGCGGAAATCTTTGGCCATGGGGCTTTGGCTGTTGCTTACGGCGTCATAGAAAGATTCACGGAAATCCATCATCATGCTGCGAATGCGCCAGCTAACAGGGGGCACATAGCGCTGGAGGGCACGCCTGAAGTCGCTGATAGGACTGTCGAGGCGTGGAATGACCCAGTTGGGAGAGCGCTGGTATACTGTCAAGGACGAGGTTTGGGGCAGAATATCGGGTATGATTTGCGCAGCTGTTGCACCTGTTTGTTTGGTTAAGCTAGCTTATCAAGCCACTGAGCACTGCGATACATACCGTTTCCAATTATTCCAACACGCTTCCCCTCGAGACTGTGGCTCCAGTCCCAGCGTGCAGAATGCATGATTTTGCCCTTGAAGTCTTGCAGGCCTGGTATATCGGGATATCGAGGCTGATTAAGCTGGCCGACTGCCGAGACCAGAAAGTCGCATTCGATGCTGTATCCAGAGGCAAACTCAGCATCCTTGCTACCGATCACGTTGACGTCAACTCTCCATCGATTTTTAGAGTCGTCCCATGCCGCAGCCTCGACGGCAGTGTTGAAGCGAATATATTTGTACAGGTTGTACTTGCGTGCGACATTCCGAAGGTAGTCGAGTATCTCCTCTTGCCCTGGATATTCTCTCGTCCACTCCGGGTTTTGCTCAAACGAGTAACTGTACAGCATGCTCCAGACATCACAGCAGCAACCAGGGTATTTGTTGTCGTGCCACGTGCCACCGACACTAGAGCCCTTCTCTACAATGATGAAGTTGTGGCATTTGTTGCGTTTGATGAGGTCGATAGCCATGCACATGCCTTTGGATATTTAGCCCCGTACAATCAGACTATCTGGCTGGGATACTGACCAGAGATGCCGGCTCCAATGATGACTACTGCAGCATCGGTATGGGTTTTGTTCTGGACCGGAACCTGATGCCATGGTTGCGAGCCGCCCATGTTGGAATTACTCGAGAATGTAAGGATTAGGAGATGGAAGAAGGATTGAGCGGTCTAAAGGGGGATGCAAGAGATGAGGGAGCTCAGCCAAGTAAAAAAGCAAGCCACGTTATATGTACAACCAGCGCGACGACTTTGCTGCCGTGGGGACGAGTGACATGAGCATTCTAAAGCTTACAAAAAACCAGCAAGCGGTATAGCGCCGGCATAGTGCAGTGAATGGTGGGGAATACGATGGAGATCCTCGGCGAAATTGATTTGCAGACAGCTTCCCCTCTTCCCATATCCGTCCAGTTCCCGTCCGAGGTCGTGCAGCACGGTGCTTTGTCATTATGCAATGGCGCTTCCGTTTTTACTACAATCGGACATATTAAGCCTAATGAGGAAGAGTGCAAATGTATTGTGAATCGAATGCCCTGGCTTGCTGCAATCCATGCACAGAAGTGTTCACGGGTGATAAGGAGCGGTGGTGTGGGCTCTCAGCAAGACATGCGTAGCGGGTTGTGGGGAATGCGCAAGGGCGGGGAAGGCAGTATCCGGCAATGGTGGGCCGGAACACGCCAATCACCAAGCGAACTCACCAGACGCGCCTGACAACAGGTGCGGACAATATTACAGGCCAGCCCAAGTTGTAGTATGTCGTCAACGAATGTAGTTGACAGAACATACACATGTGCGTATGTACGTGCGAAATGGACGAGCTGAACAGGGCTTCCCGCTTCTTCGCCCACCGTCTGGGTGGTCTGGCAGTGCCTGGTTGTGTATGGCCCCACGACTCTCGTTGTCGTTCCCCCTTGGACCAAAGGCCATGCTCAGCTTCTATTGCTCAACTCTTTCTTCACCGCTGCTGCTGTTGTTGTTGTCGTGGTTTTGCATCGACCTTGTTGCTTGGTTGCTCGTCATTGTCTTCCGGCGGAGGTTCGAATTCGCGTGTGTGTACCACGCCCCATCGCACCTTTTTTTCTCCTCGGCTGTCTTGATCTTGGTGGCTGCTTGTACAACGTGTGGAGCCTGTGGAATCTGTAGGATATGTAGAATCGATGGAATCTGTAGAACAAGTCGAATCCGTACAACTCGCAGGCTGGGCCGGCATGATAGGAATTGGAGTGACTGCTCGTATTCGCATCCATGCCTCGCTCATCTCCAACCTTGAAATGGGGAGCCGGCCATGTCTGGGCTGAGTTTTGAGCTCGCCTCGTGGTGTCCTTGAGTATCCATGGTGCCGGTCTGCAACAGTGCTGAACCTATCATGGGTGGTGGGGAGTTGTGTCGACGAGGCGTGCTTGGTTTCTCTGCGATGATGAGCATGATGGCGTCTGTCGTGCAGCATGTAGTCTAATGCATGATGCAGACACGGGCACTTCATCGCTGAGGGCGTGGAAGCCCGCGAGGAGGAAGCTGTTGTGCATCTCTTGACATTGCAAGAAGGCGACGAGGTGCAGCGGGTGCCGCTGAAGCCTCTTCATGGCTTCGACTTCTAGGGTCGATGGGAGAGATGCATGGACGTTTTCTGAGAACAACTGGCCAAGCGCAAGACGGACTGACGTGTACGTATGACACAGGCGGTGCACATGGAACACTGCTCCAAACTATCTCGTCATTTATAGCAAGCGCAATTACGCACGTCCCTTGGGGCCAGAGTCTGGCGTCAGCATCGCGTTTGCAAGAAGCGATCTGGTTGCTGTGACCGATGGTGGTTTTGATGATGCATGGCATGTGTAGGGGCCTGCCATGGATGTTGTGACGAATCCCAGGCGGTTTGCGTGCATTGGGTGTAGGGCGGTACACGTGGTGTCGTCACGTGGAGGCCGGGGGGGGGGGCGATGTTGGTTCAACGCGGCAGGGCTCGAGTCAAAACCATTCTTGGCCTCGCCATCTGCATCGACTTTTGTTTGTTTCCTGTTTCCCGTTGAACGGCACGGACCCCGCAGCAGACACGGGCAGACTGGCAACATCCAAGTAACCAAGCATGCGCTGGCGGGCAGAGGACACAACAAAGCCAGGAAAGCGGCCAGAGGGCCAGTTCAAAACTAGACGAGGCGGAGGGTTCTAGCCGGAATTGCTTGTGTGTTGATGAGAGCTTCAGTGGGCCGTGGTCCATGGGGATCCGTAATGGACCGAGATACGAGAGAGCAGGCGGACTGTTTGGCCCCAAGCAGCAGGTACAAGGCACTGAAGCGACCGTTTGAAGGTCCGTTCTGTGCGGTCGGTGCACAGCATTGACCCGCCCGGAGGTTGTTAGAATTGCGGGCACGGGAGGGAAATAAGCCAGCCAGTGGCAGAGCCAGGATGGGTTTCGCCAACACAAGATTGGCGGGATGCTTGGGAGCAGGAGGCTGGTCGCGGTGGGACTGCGGATGGGGCGTATGCTGTAATACTTGCTTAAGTACATATCCCTATACATACACACTAGATGCTGCACCCCACAAGCAGACGCGACTGCGACAGTTGGGAGCGGCGCACAGAGAGAGAGAGAGAGCAAGAGAGAGGGGCAGCCAGCGTCCAGAGCGCCTGTGGGGATTTGGGATGGTGGCTGGAGCTGGAGCTGGAGCTGGATCGAATCGAATAGTCATAACAATATTAGCAGTCAGTAGACTCCAGACGGGCGGTCTATGAGAGCCCATGTATTAAGTCAATCCATCTCTCCACCCATCCACCCACCAACCTACCCACTCATCCATCCACGATCCAAGTATCCAGTCCAGTCCAGTCCAGTACACATGCACACAGGTATGTGCGCTTAAATTCAATAGCGCCGTCCGCTCGCTGTAGGTCCATGGATGCGGCGAGCCATACCATGTCATCATAGCTGCTACTCTCCTCGCACCCAGTGAGCAACAAGCAGCGACAACGCCTTGGATGTCTCCCATCCGGCCATGTACACAGATGTATATGTCTGAAGCTGAAGGATCCCTTGTACGACGAGTAGAGACGCGCCCTGCTCCCCCCACCCATGCAGCCATGGCGGGTGTGGTAGGCTGAGGTCGAGGACAGGTCGCTTCTTGCAGCAGTGATTGGCCGCGACCCCAGCGTCTCTCCGTGTTCTCGACTGTGTGGTAGCACTGCGGATGGCGGATTGGGTTGCACCCTGTCCTGCTGCTAGCTGCCATTCTGAAACTCAAACACCTCCTGGTGGGAGCCACCATTGCCCGCCTGCTTGCCTGCCTGCCTGCCTATACTTGCCCATCCCATGTCCGTCCTCTTCTCCTCTTTTTTTTTTTCTTCTTCCTCTCCGGTGCGCGCACTAGACGCATGCCCACTTCCCACCACCTCTCCCCACAAACACAACTACGGTTTTGCTGCAGTAGTCGGCAGTAGCTCTGTCGGGCCATTGCTAGCCGACCATACATACTCTACCACTTTATCACTACGTACGCGCACGCCCTCCCGCACACCGTCATCACTGCAGCCGTGCGCACTGGTCGGCCGCACTCAGGCTTATTCCTACCACGCCTTTGCACCTAATAATATTCCTCTGCGCTTTCCCAGCTTGCCACTGTCTAGACTGTCTATTTAGTCGTAATCCACATGGCCCGCAAACTCTCCTTCACTCTGTCTCCTGTCGTGCGTGCTCCACTAAACACCAAAACACTAAAAACCTCGATTCACTTGCTCACACCTCCTTCTCTAGAACACCGCCTCCAAGCAGGACCTTGCCGGCAAGATGACGCAAGAAACCAACCCCTTACACGCCTCGTCCCACAAAAGACACTCCTCCAAAGACACCATATGTGACAGCTCGCCCTGGATCAACCGCCGCGTCCTCGACAGCCAGACCGACCAAGAGCTGCGCGCAGCATGTCGCCTCATCCTCAAAAACTTCAAGCCCTCCGACCATGGCATGGAGAACACCGACCCAAAGCTCGATTTCGCCGGCCTAGGCTTCAGGCCTCGCAAAGATAGCAAGCCACAGTCCGCCGATGTCAATGCGCGTGTGCCTGCTGCTGCCCCTCCAGAACCCGCCTCAACTTCGTTCCTGCCACGATCGCGCAGCACAAAAGTCCGCACCAGGGCAAAAGCAGACATGGAGATAAGAGCAAGGCAGAACAGTGATCTGCCTGCACGAGCAAACAGCAGCCGCAAGCGTGCTGAGCGAGATGCTGAAAAGGATGAAAGACTACGCAACTTTGGCAAAGCTTCCATGGATGTACCCAGGCCCGCCATATCTTGCATCTCCAACGAAGACATTACTCTTCCAGTCACCATTACATCCACCCTAGCAACCTCCAAGAATTCTGCCCCTCATGACTTTGACGACCCCGTTGCTGCTGCAGATGCCCAAGCATCCGAGTGGATGCGCCTAGAAATGGACAAGAAGCGCCAACAAGACACGGCAGATCGCCAGCGCCGACCCTCGACATCGGTCCGCCCTCCAAGCCGCGCCGCGAGTATCAAGGAAAGCGTCATCGAATACGTTTTCCCCGGATCTCGAAGTCGCGCCCTCAGCCGCGCACAATCCAAGGAATCCCTCCATTCGCCAGCTGACAGTAATGACACTGGCCTTTCTCGCAATGGCTCAAATGCGACTTGGCGAAGTTGGGGCCTGCGCCGTATGAAAAGTACGAGAAGTGAAAATAGGTCAGGGTCTTCCCATGGCCAGGGAGACGACGGTGCACAACCTAGAAAGTCAGAGTCGAATACCGTCAACCTCAACAGAGAGCTTCCACCATTACCCAGTCTGGACAGCTGGAAAGAACCTGAAAAGCCCAAGCAAGAAGTGGCATCTCCCAAATCACCCACAGCCGAGACACACATTGCAAATCTTATGCGTCCACAGGAACAGCATCCAGAACGCTCGCCTGCCGCACGGAAACAGCACAGGAGGAGTGGGTCAGATACCTTGGCCATGCAATACACCGCTGCCTTCCCCGCTCGCAAATCCTCTCGCCGGCAGGGCACGCAGCCAATTTCCCAAACACCAACAAGTGCCGTCCCAGCCAGCGCCGTATCAGTGAGCCCCAAACCGACTGAAAAACTCGCAACAAACGCGTCCTCATCAACTACCAACGTCGACCAGCAGCACACCAAAACCGCTTCGAGCTCCCAAACCCGCCCCCGCAGCGGCGAAAGCAATACCACGGCCCACGCCTCCAACTTCTCCCATCGCATGAGCATCGACTCTCCCGCCGTTCTTAAAACCCTCTCCAACGAACCCAAGGCCCCCGCCAAAGAAGAGCAGAAATCAAAGCTCAAGAAGATCTTCAGCGGCTGGATCCATAAAAAAGATAAAAAGGACGATTGGATGCATAAAATGGAAAAGGAGGGCATCAAGGAAGGTGTCTTGGTTCAGGATAGTAATGATGCTCTTGCTGCTCCTGTCGTTCGGTATTAATTTTTTTTTCACTTTTTTTCTCTTAACTATTACACGCACTTGCTACTACCACTACTACTATTACCATAACTTTTACTCACTCTCACATTCCACCTTTTTTTTTCTCTTCTTCTTCTGGGTTACTCTCGTTCGTCTGTATCAAAAAAACTTAATTTGTTATACCCTTTTTTTGGTTCGTCTTATTTTTTCCTTACTCTCGTTGGAGATTCAAGGAATTTGTGTGTACTTGGGTTTGCACGTTGAAGACAAAAGCTGCATTACACTACATATATATATACATATTATGACCAATAATGCATGTATGCTTTGCAATCATGATGGGAATTTCTTTCCATTCGTCTTTTGTCGGATTTTAAGCAAAGTGTGGTTGTGTACTCTTTCCTTCTCCCCCTCTGTTCTTCTTCTTCTTCTTTCTACATCAACATGTGCATCACTAGAGATACTGGCATTCAAAAGAAAGCATCTTTATTTGTAGAAAAAAAGTTTCAAGTCATCTTGTTCCAAAATTGTACGTCATACCGGACTATCTTTCACCACAATGGTCAACAGTTTCAGTTTTTTTAGGGTACTTTCTCCATGTCACATTATACAAGCTAGATATATGGAACCATCATCAGAATGCCTTGATACACAATACTACCACTACCATACCATGCATCCCCATCTAATACACGCTATCTATGTATGCCATTCATTCTGCTAACCCTTTGCATAACCCATGAACTGTAGCCGTAAACCATAGCCCATAGCCCATAACACATGCGTCGTCCATGACGTTCAATCATGCACCTATACGCTATGCAGCAGCACTCTCAACAACGTGCCCAGACTTCAGGCCCCAAACAGGGCCGCCCCCATCATCTGCCTTAGCCTACCAACCACCCTCCGCACCATGCCCTGCACCCGGCGCGCGATCCAGATATTGACATGCACAATCAAAAGCCCCACGATCAAAGGCATCAGGAAGAACAAGAGTGTGTAGGCCGGTCCCATCACCGCAAAAGCTGCCATATAGTCAATGAACCGGTCCTCGTACTCGACCAGATCGTCCGGGTCGAAAATGGCTAGCGGCTGCCGATCGTCTACCATTGCGCAGACGCCTGCTTCCTTCCTCGAGCTACATTGCATTAGTCATGTAATTTCTCAAAGTGTGACAAAGAGGGCGGTCGTGAACAGAGGAATCACCACCTGTCCACTCCTGACCCTCCTGACAAGACAGTGTTAAAAAAGTTGCCATCGCCCCCGCCTCCATAACTGCCACCGGGGTATCCACCACCCCCTCCGTATCCGCCCATGGCGCCCATGCGGTTTTTACCTTGGTTCTTTCCATGCTCGACAATAGAACTCTTACGGCCAAATTCCTTGGCCGCTGATACCGAGTTGGTAATAGATGCCAGCAAGTTGACCAGCTGGACATCAGAAGCCTCTTGCTGAGATTCGAGGGTAAAAGCAGCAGCGTCTGGAGGGGCAAGAATGTTGATTCGAGCGAGCATAGCGGAAATGCTGCGAAGAATTGGATGATTCAGAGGCAATGAATGTTGCTCGTCTAGTGTAGGATTGATTGGGAGCGACGCATCAGACAGATATGATGGTGGAAGGGAGTTGAGGTAAGCGCGGAGCAGAGCTATACGTCGACCAAGCATACGAATAGCGTTCATCTTTGCTGTAAGGGTAGACAAAACTAAAGATCGGTCAGTACTTCTACATCATATCCACAGTCTTGGGGATGGACTTGCTCTCTTCGTCATCTGCACTCAAAATCTGCGACTCCTCAATTGGAGCATCTTCCGCCATCTTCTCCTTCTCTTTCTGTTTGCCTCGCGTGATTCGTTTTCCAGCATCTTCGTCATTCGCTGAAGCCTCGGCATTCGACACTGGGACGTCAACTGAGCCCTCGACCGCCGTTGCGTTTCCTCCACCACGGGCGACAAAGTCAACAGATATCATCTCGGCCTCGCCAGTCTCAATAGAGTATACTAGCTCCCGGAATTTGGTTGACTTTGGCTGTACTGCGCCATCGACATCCATGACCTTATCGTTCGGTTCGCTCGACGTGCTGACAGAGACGGATTCGTAGACTGTAAGTGGCAATTTTCCGGCAGCAGTTTCCTCAGAGAAGGCATTTTCAGGGTGGAAGAGAACAAGTAATGGCGATTCGGTGTAGACTTCAGATATCCGTGAATGTATGGGAAGAAGGTGAGGCTCGGGGCCAGAGGCGGGACCGAGGGTAAACCATCCGACAATGTCGAGCTGGGGCTCTTTGTGTACGTCCTTGACTGCCATCTCCGTAAGCGTCTGTTTGGGTATACCTATCAGAAGCATGGGGGCACGGCTTACAATCCTCGATCCGCTTGCTGAACCAATCGTCATCGAGCGTTGTTTCGCCGTCCTCGTTTGACCGGAGTTTTGCTTGGAAAGCGACCTCCATGGTGATATTCTGTCCATCTTGTGCCCCCAATATGGCACCGACTACCGGCCCTGTCTGCTGTCGTAGTGTGTGCCGTGTTACACAATCGGTTATTGTGAGGAGGACTAGTGGGTGAAGCTGAACTGTGGGACTGGCGTCAGAGGCGCGGGTGGTTGAAACAAGCGGGTTTCCCGATGATTCCACCATTTTTGCTGTGTACACAGGGTCACTTGTCTGATGCACACACTGGGGGGTCTGGAGGGGCAATTAGAAGTTAAAGGTGGAGGTGCAAGGCAATGGCGGCGGTATCGTCAATGGTGGGGAGCTTGCTAGGCTGCAGCTGCTACAGTTCGTGGGGCTACGCCAAGCCGCTAGTCTGGAGCTCTAGCGGGCAACTAGACTACTACTACGTGACGCGATTCTGTTAACTACAACTAAACTCTTCACAGTTTCACAATTCTATCCATTACTCCTAAATCGATTATCATTTATCATATTCTCCAGCTCAGTACAGACCGGAAGCTTTCCTTCGTCAAACTTTACCCTAGTTGATATCCCAAAATACTCTACTCCGGATGCGTACTAAAAAAGAAGCGAGTGGTATCTCAGTCTTGAACAGAATCCCAAAAATTATCCTGTGAACGCCCGGCTACAACACGTAGCACTCCCATTACACCTCCAAGTAGTCTCTAGTATCCATAATGGTTCTTGAAGAAAGAATGTACACAATTACAGGTCGGCCGTATTTACATCTCAACAAGGACTTTGACGACCAAGTTGCCGTCCTTGTCCATGGTCTTTCCGGCGAGCTCGAAAGCCTCTTTGGTTGAAGCAAGACCATGATATCTTATCGCAAATATTAGCCGTTTTTCTGCGCTTATGCTACAGGATTACTCACCTGTGCGTAATCATGTTGTCGAGGCTTGGGAGGACACCTGCGGACAGGATCTTGATACCTGTTGGGTAGGTGTTTGCGTATCGGAAAATCCCGATGATGTCAACTTCTTTCAGATGTGATGCTGATATGGGAAGAGTTTGAATTGGTGTGCCCATGCCGACCATGATCAGCTTGCCGCCGGGTCTGGTTGCCTGTGGGGTGGTTAGCATTGGTTCCACAGCAACTCCAAGGATTCACTCACATAAAGTCCGGCTTGCATGCACACCTCCTTACCGGTGCAGTCAAAAGTCACATCGGCGCCTTCGAAGTCAATCTCGTTCAGCGACGCAATCTGCATAATGTCTGCAGCAAGCTCCTTTGCAGCAGAAAACTGCCCCGCGCCTTCGGTTGATTGTGCTTGTGCAGTCACAATGTAACCCTTATTCGCGAAGCCGTTCGCTAGAGCATAATTTATGCGTCCATAATCGATATCGGCAATGACAACCGTTGTGGCACCAGACACCTTGGCCATGGCAGCAGTCAGAAGACCAACGGTACCTGCGCCGAAGACGATTGCAGTGTCACCCTGCTCAATCTGAGCTCTCCTGGTTGCATGGATCGCAACCGAAAGAGGCTCCAAAAGCGCAGCCGACTCCATGGACACGTGTGAAGGGAGTCTGATTAGAGTTGTCAGCTAAGGCTCGGACTTCGGGTCGATCATGCACAACATACTTGTGGCACCATTTTGCAGGATGGTTGATGCGTTCCTGAAGGGTCCCCTGAAAGTGAGGCACAGATTTGGCACTACTTCGGAACCTCATCTTAGGGCATAGGTTATAGCGGCCCCTCTGGCACGACCTACAGTTATCACACGGCACACCAACCTCGAGTGCAACGCGGTCGCCAATCTGGTAGCCAGTGACATTATTGCCGATGGCCACAACAACTCCAGCAGACTCATGGCCTAGCGATAAAGGCTCACAAGCCTGCAGATCGCCGTTCCGGAACTTGCTGTAGTATGAGCAATCACTGCCGCACAGCCCGGTGGCTTTGATAGCGATCTGGAGTTCATTGGCGGCAGGATCTGAGATTGTTCGAGTTTCCTATTTGAACCTGTCAGCCTGCCGTCTCGGATGTTCGTTGTATATGTATGACACCCCCACGGGCAGTGGGTAGGCGTGGGGTGGGATAACGAAAGCGGAAGGCATACCAACCGCAAATCCCTTGGCCCATGCAAGACCGAAGCTACGACGGTCGAAGACTTTGTGTAGTGCCTTGCTGGGATTGGGCAGATATCTGCTAGAGCTGAGGGCGCCATTACGTGAAAAATATAAAAGTAGTGGGAGATGTGGCAATGGTACGGGAAAAGGAGAAGGAGAAATGGCTAGCAGGAGCCCACCCCACGGGAGCGTGGAGGCTGATATACTTGTTGAGAAGACGCGTTTCGATCAATAGTAAATGGGCGCGCGCTGGGCTTGCCTCAGATTCGTGCATCGGCGAGATAATGGCATCGCATGAGAGGAGACTTGAAGGTTCCACGTCATTTGCTAGGCGGCTCAATCTGGCGGGACAAGCAAGGTCAAGGGTGGACAACCAAAAACTACTTGGTACGGTAGCCTTTGCCTAGTCATTTCTTCATACCGTTACTCTGGTAGTATATGTGAGGCTAGATCGTCTTGTGGGTACGCCACGGAGAGCATGTGCAATTCGACCGAAGAGCTAGCGGCAATTGGTCTTGGCCCGTCTGAACTCGTTCTGCCGAATCAACAGCTACCAACGGCCGAGCATGCATACACAGGATGCGATATATGAGCAGTAGTCATATTGTGGTGTCTATTTTGGACTGGCCTTTTTGCGATGCCCGTCTATCAGAGACGAAGCTGGCGTTGTGAAACGGCGATAAGGCACTCTGCGCAGCTGTGGAGCTTGCCTTCAAAGGTTCCGTTGGGATTACTTTGAGTGGATCAGTCTGTTCTTGTGGCCCTGTCGCTGCATGGATCCCTGGATGATATGCAGGAAACATCAGCCTGATATGCGGGCTGTCCTGTGTCGAGGGTGCCAGTCGTCAAGCCATATCTCCACAATAAGGCTTCCGAGAACCCCAGCGCAACGTCAGTGCTGGACTCCCAGGGCCTATCTGCCGACGGAAGAATGCGAACGTTGACTGGCTAGAATACTTGGCTGAGTTTCCAGAAGACCTTTGGAAGCCCCCTGGAGCAATCAAACCTCCTGTGATATAGTAGTGTCCTAGTACTTAATAGTGCGAACGACTCACGCTCGACCACGCGCCTCCTTGCTAAGAGTTTCGGTGAGGTAAGATGCTTATCCTATAACGTGCTAATTGGGGAATGCCAGGGCAACAGTGTGTGGTCAAAACCCGTTGGCTGGATGTCGGCTCGTAGTAGGTTGGGCGTGCGCAACGGTGCACCTACCATGGAGCAGCTACTAGTTCAACGAAAGGAATGAACTCGCGACCGGCCTGTCGGAACAAGAAGACATACATAAGGCTTCTTATCGGGGCGACTCCAGAGTCAACTGCACAAACGACTGGCCAAAGGCATATCAACCAGCTACCAGCTGCAGCTGCGACCGAGGAGCGGCCACCAACGGCCAAGGGGATTTGACATGTGCCACTGACTTCTGCATGAACATGACGAGAAGGCACCGATAACGCAATGCAATGCTTTGCCGGATCTGCCAATCTGACCGAGACATGAGGTTGAGCATGGTCCACCCGCAATCGAGAGGAATAACGGTGATCGTGGCCGCATGGTAGGAACCACTAGACAGGGGTGAGCCACGAGCGAGATGAGAGGTCGTTGGGGCAAGCCGTAGGTACCACGGAATGAGGATATATCTCTCCGACCGTTTGACACGGACTCCCCTATGGGACGGCAAAAGCACAAGTCTGAGAGCCGTTCCTTGCACATGGTCGAACCTAGTACGACAGAGCACTATGGTGGCTCCAGCCGTCCTGGCCGCTCGAGATATACCAACCACATACGTACCCAAGACACAATACGAGCTCGCCACGAGCTCGCCATGAGATGCTATTGTATAATATGCATGCTGATAAGACGTGATCACATACGAGTCGCACCTACTAACTACTACCTCGACTTGCTTCGTGACACTACTCAAGATCCTGCCGATAGCCCGTACGAACCCTGAGATCATGCATCACCAAGCAGCCAAATCCTCGATCTCGCTGCATGGACCTTCGAAAGCAGAAGGCGGTGAGCCTGGTCAAGCATTGCGCACCCATCCGCAATTCGATTTTTAATACTACCCACTCACACGCGCTTTATCGCAACTTGCGTCAAGCATCTATATCTCAGGCACCGGCATTTGCGTCGCAGCGGTGAGCGGGTAGATCTTGGTCTTTTGCCGCCAGAAACCCGGGACGGCGAGTCAATCTTGATCCTGGGGTTGTAGCCGCCGCTGGAGGCGGTCTGCCTGCTTGACGTAACGGGACTGCATCCTCCTATCGCACCCAGGGTACGTATACCACCCAATCCTAAAGAAGCTACAGATATTGCGGATGTACGGCTCCGCATCAGTCCATTGGCAACACCCTCATCATGCCGAGTACAATTCACAACCACCAGATAGCCACAAGGTACAACGCAGTGACACCACTGGCTATACTCTGCAGCACGAGTCCCAATCCTCTGGGTGGCGCACGGACGGGGACCTGCATCCCGAATATCTTGTACCAGGAAAGTAACGTGTTCCAAGGTATCTTTCCCACTCGCAAAACAAATATGGTGATTATTCGCTTGGAAGAATACAGGGCAACGCTAACGGATGAGCGTTCGAATCAAGACGGGACAAGAACAAAGGATTGGGAGGATTCAGAACACCCGGTTGCACGTCAGTGACGGGCCAAGTGCCTAGTACTACTACTACTTTTGCCGTTCTGTGAGAGGTTAGAACCTCCGGAGATACCGAGGAAGTCACCACCATCACAGCACGCTTCACAACGCCTCATTTTCGAGGGTAACAAAACCGAAGGATGCCAATGCGTTGCAAGCGAATATCGGAGATTGCACAAGACATGGTAAAGTTTTGTCTGATACAAGCGAAAAAAGCCATTGTCTTAATTGCCACGTTAGGGATCTTGCATTTGACAGATAGGTAAGAAATGCCGACCATCGACGACTACATGTGATTAGCTAACAAGACGAGATGGTGACGCAGGCCAATCTGCAACACGGCCTTGAGTGCGGCCTTAGTAGGGATCGACTCGACATCCAAACCCTCATTTACTCGTCAGCAGCGAGCCGTCAGCAAAAACACCAAATTCACATTGCCGAAAACTCTAATTAAACAACCCTCGTGTGCTGCGACATACTAGCGTAGCGGCACCCCGATGTCGCTTATGATAAGGGATGAAATGGAAGCACATGTCGGACCAAACAACGGATAGAGCCGCAAAGCTGCAATTGCAATTGCAATCATCTTTGCTCCCTATGCATGTACTCGGTATTACTGTATGTACCTAGAGGTCGACCTTGCCACCTCAACCCTACAGTCACTGTACCACCAGTCATGCGACACGGAAATGATATAGAAGCAATTCCGTTTAGGCGAAATTTCATGGGGCTCCACTACTCCTTGCATGCACACCGCACACTCGTCACCCGGGCGAACCGTTAGGGGGTCCAGAAAAAAACATGCTCAGACCACACAGACGTACCCACAATAGCTTCGTGTCTACAACTTGTTTCAAAGTAGGCGGAATTGCGGTTATTGTATCCCCGTGGGATTCTACATATTGTGCTATGCTAGCGCATCCTTTCTAGATCCGTCTCAATCCCCCCGTTTTTACAATTGACTGTTTGGCTGCTTGTCTACTAGGCCTTGCGCTACAAACCATTGGCGGATAATTTGATTCACCTCGTCTGGCTTCTGTATCATGGCCCAGTGCCCAGTCGCCACCTCGCCTCTGGTGAGCTGTGGGATGAAGTTCTCCATGCCTTTTGACAACTCTGGCGTGAGGACCATATCCAGCATTCCTTGGATGAAGAGAACAGGTTGGGTAATAGTCTTTTTGTCAAGCAGCTCTTGCTCTTCTTCCCAGTTTAGGCGGCGTGTGCGGTACCAGTTGACTATATTGAGCAATCGGGTTAGCTAGAGGATTTTGCTATGTGAGTGTTGGTTAGGAGCATAACGTACGGGTAGGATGAATGCCGTGGTTAGAGTATTGCTTGACGTAGTAGTCTAGGACCTGATTCGCTGTCAGTACACCATCGCTTGAGGAAAAACGGTATCCACGCCTTTCTCTCTGAAACAAGACAATGACGACAGTTGGTGATCATGACCCGTAGCGTGGGTCATGATCGTGTCGAGCAAACAAAAAAGGAGCCGATCTTCTGGATGTCGTGCCGGCAATCCTGCACCGAATACCCAGACGGGTAACAATGGCTGCCGGGCACGTCTCGCTCGTGACCCATTATCACTGCCTCAAAAGAGCAGCAATCTTTGCCTTTCACCCGGTTTCCCCGGCTTTTAACCTAGGAATAAGAAAAAAGGGGGTCGCCTCTCGACACGCGTCCTAGCATAAAGAGATCAACAACGTACCTTTCCCTTCAGGAGCACACCCTCTCCGACCTTTTCTAGGTTCTCGGATAGCACACCCTTGTTAGGATTGAAGACAACTTCACCGTTTGGTCCCTTGGCGCCATACATGCCCTTTAGGAACTGTCTGATAGTCTCCTCATCCTTGATCACCTTCTCCACCTCGCCAGACGCAAGATGCATCTGATATGCGAACTGGGGTACAGGCCCCTTGACAATGTCTTCAATGGGGAAGTATCTTTCAGACGGCGCAGTATACGGTGTGCAGATTGAAAAGACGTGAGTAATTAGCTCAGGGTACCTAGATGTGTCTTGTTAGAAAACAATGATTTGATCACGGTTGGAAAGTGGGTTATTGAGATTTACCATTGAGCAGCACGCCAAACGACGGCACCCCCCCTATTCCCGGTATCAGCATATCGATTCCTCGTCTCGAGCAGAATCGTCGATGAGACGCTGTACTACTCACCAATCATGACCTCCCAGCACAATTTGCGGCGCCTCGACTTCCTTGGCCAGCGCAGCAATGTCGTCTGACGCCCTCTTCATACCATATAGATTGAGCGGGTTGGGAGGGACTTGTGGAGCAGCCTGTGCGCAGCACGATCAGCATTTCGCCTTTTACGACGAGTATATCCTGGGGAAGAAAGAGAAAGAGAAGCATGGAAAACTTACCGTTCCTCCATATCCCATCATATTCGGTGCTACGACGCGGAATCCCAAATCCAGCAGAAGTGGGATCTGGTATCGCCATCCTATGGCGAGATCGGGCCATCCATGGATCTAGGGTTTGGTGCGTTAATCGAGTTATTTGCAGTATACAGCGTGTCCATCTCTCTGCAATAACTATCCCAAAGCCACGTTGTCCTTCTTTTTTCTTCTTCTTTTCCTTTCTTCAGACAACCCACGGTTACTCCGACTATGCAGGAAAGAAAAACATACCAGAAAAACAGTCTTCTTCCACCCCCCAGACTTGGGCACACCATACAAATACTCGTACGTCTGTCCATTCAGCGTCGCCGTCTTAACCTCGATGCGCGAGTCAGACTCTGGGTTGATAGGTTCGATGCTTGACATGGTTTTTCGTTTTTTCACTTGGCTATAAAAAAAAAGCTATAGTCACACTAGAAAAAATCTTCGTCTGTCTCAATACAAAGATGAAGATGGAGATGTAGTACAAGGTAAATGTTTTAATTGTTAGGGAAAAGTAAGAGAAAGAGCAGTAGTTGATATGCTTTCCTCTCGGAGCTACTCGAAGTAGAAGTTCGTACGGTAGCTTGCTTTCGTACGAGGTATGATGCAAAAAAAAGCGGATATGCCGAGGCAAAGTACGTACCTAGGACAGAGTGGGGTTCGCGTCACATTTGGTACGATGGCCGTCACTGTCGGGCCTATTTGTGTGAATGTCTTTTTTTGGGCTTGGGCATGTCATGCTACGTGTCGATACTCATTTTGCAATGTTGACATTTTACCTATATATATAGCAAGTAGAAAATATACTAGGTGTTTAAGGAAATATAGTAAAGAGGAATTGCGGTGGCGTGAGTCGGGTTGCTATATTATATGTATTTTCTCTAATTGTAGGTTGCGTCCTTGAATGTGTATGAAGCCAGAATATAGGCTCGCGAGCTACAGCTTAATGCAATACAGTTGGACCCAGGCATACGAAAGTTTGTACCTCAATTGCCTATCGCTCTTTTCCCGGAACACGCCCACACTTGGTTTGGTAGTCAGCAAGCAGTGTTCATTCTTTCAATTCAGCATATTGGGCAACGTGTAGTTCAAGTACTGGCTTGTCGTGCATAATGACTTATCACCATGCTGCATCAGATTAGGCTGTATGATGTAGTATGACGTCACAACAGCTAATGCAGTAACAAGAATCCCCAATTAGGACATTGTTGCTTTCCTGGGTTCTGCTCGAAAGTATCATCGCACCATTGCTCCAGGTCTTTACATTGAGTTACGAATCGGATAGGACCTAGAGGCCGAAGCAAGCTCTAGTAAGGAAGATGATCGGCGGGTGGAAAGACGGGTATCCGAAGGGATCGAAGGTATTGTGTCCAAACGTATATCCACGAAAGCAAGATGTGGTTAGTGGACAGTGGATGTTAAACGGAAGAAGCTCCCAGCGGCACTCAGTAGATGACGGTGTCCTCGGCAGCCTCCTCTACGACATCTTCTCCATTCTCATCTTCATCATCCTTGGCAGGCTCCTCGGGGACGATGTCACGATTTGCATCCCTGCTATCCTGCGTATCCCCAGTGGCGTGTTCATCCCTTGCTTCCGTGGTGGTGTTGGGATTATCAGAATGTCGGTGGTCTACTTCCATGTCCTCAGGCGGAGCAGTGCTATCATTAGTGGCACCATTGGCGGTGGATGTTGCGTGAGGTGCATCTGCATCATGGCTCTTACTAGTCTGGGAATCTGTTGCATGGCGGTTCATTTCGTCGGCAGCGTCCCGCTTCCGCTGATTATCCGCGTGCTGGCGAGCCTCGTATTCAGCCACCTCATGTCTGATGATGTCTTTGGCTTCGGCTATTTGGTCTTGTATGCGGTCGTCTTCGCCGGGGCTGGTTTCCCAGGGCTTATAGTACTGGACCGGGAATTAGCTTTCGGGAATGGGCAACTGGGTCATGCGATAACGTACAAGACGTGGTTCTGTCTTGGTCTGAAGGAAGTGGGCCATGCTGAGGAGGTTGTCATGACGGATGCGCATCTGGGAATAGTAAGCCCTGGTTGAACAGAGTGTCATGTGTTGCCGCGACTTACTGATTCCCTCTCGAAGCGCTTCTGTTCTATCCATCGCTGCTCTTTCCGCCTTGCTGCGCGCTCAGCTCTCCTCTGTTCGCTCTCGTGGTCTTCTTGCTTGCGTTGGGCCAACTGTCTCTGCTCGATTTCAAAGCGGCGTTTCTGTGCGGTGGTGGCAGTGTTCTGTGAGAGCGCTCCCAGGACGGCGCCGAACAGCCTGCGCTCTCGTCCCCTCTCGCGGCGCACTGGGGCAGGCTTGGTATCTCTGGAGCCGGAATCACGTCTATCGTTGTCGCCGGATACATCGTCGGCTTCGATTCGTGGTCGCTTTGCCGGGTCGTCTGAAAATGACTCCTGGCGTCTTTTCTGGCTGTACACGGGCGAGGCTGGCACTGAGAGTTCGTCGGGAACGACTACGGCGGACGCAATAGAAGCGTCCATTGTTACATGGAACCCAACTAGGCAGACTTTCTATTGTTGTAATGTGCTATATGCCCCGCAACGAAGCCAGCATGTCACGCGTCGTAGAAAAGAAAGGGTGAGTGAGACGAGGCATATCTAACGCGACACGAGCTTCGGCGCAGAGCAGGCGTTCATCTCCATGGGCGGTGCTTGGCTTACGCTAGCAGCGGACCCCCGAAGCTCGACTTTCACTTCTACAACTTTCTCTCTCGCGCCTTCCATTACAGCATACGCCACTTAATAAAAAGAGACATAACACAACGATCCTACGAATCTACGAATCCCTCGCAACAGCTCCATCTCAACACGCAAACACTATACTGAGAACCAACCCACCATGTCTCGCCATCACCCGTAAGTCCACTCACACCCTCTCACTCTCCCTCTCCTCTCTTCCCATATAAACTAACAAATCTCCTCACTCAGCGATCTCGTAATGTGCCGCAAGCAATCCGGCATATCCATCGGCCGCCTCTGCGACAAATGCGACGGCAAGTGCCCCGTCTGCGACTCGTACGTGCGCCCCACGACACTCGCCCGCATCTGCGACGAATGCTCCTTTGGCAACTACCAGAACAAATGCGTCGTCTGCGGTGGCGAGGGCATTTCCGACGCTTTCTACTGCTTTGAGTGTACACGTCTTGAGAAGGATAGAGATGGATGCCCCAAGATTATTAATCTGGGAAGTAGTAGGACGGATTTGTTTTACCAGAAGAAGAATTTTAGAAATCATTGACGGGGAGTTGGGGATATCAGTGTGTGTGAGTGGAATGTAATAGTGCCGGGTGCGTTATGCGCTGGTAGGGGAAGGGCAAAGGAAGAGCATGGAGAAGCGGACATTACCATTGGATACAGAGGCGTTTTAGGAGTCCAAGATACCTCGAGATTTTTCTTAACGGTACCTATGCCATTTTTCTTCTTGATCGAAAGACTTGGTACTGACAAGTTCACAAGATCTTTCTTTGGTTCATTTAAAGTTACGGAGACACCAGTGCAACGACATAGCTTGAATATCTCTGGGAAAAGCGGACAATGTAAAGATGAATAATCCTATTCAAGTGGCCCCTTCATCTATCTAGCAGAGCTTGGGTATCATGTTCGCAGCTCCAACGCGTGCCCCCCAAAAAATGACCAGAAAACGCCAAATCCAGACGCCGCTAGATGTAGACAAGCTTTTCAGCTGATAGCAATAACTGAAATACGGTTTTTCTCCCAGATACATCAAACGTGTGCCAACTCTACCGGCCAAAGTCATCTTCATCTCAATGTCCATTCACACCTGAATTGCTAAACTTGCGCTTCTTGGCCTCGCGCTCGCCCGCATCTTGCGACGGCCGGTACTGATCGAGCTTGCCCTGCATACGATACGTCTCACGTTTGATATTCTCCGCATTGGCCAATAGGTCCATCTCCGTGACGGGCGCTTCAATACTCTCCAACACACTATTGACCGTGCTGATGTGATTAGCATCTTTCTTGTCATCGCGCCAGCGGGGCGTGCCGTCTGCTTCTTGCTTGTATTTCCACTGCCCATTATCTGTGCGATAGCACTCAATTATGCGGCCGTCTAGACGCTGGTTGAGGGATTTGAGCGTTTCCCACTCGGCTGGGGCGAGGGAAAGCTGGGCAAATACTTGGTACTTGTTTTGATTGTGCTGGACAAGGAGTTCGATGGGGCGCGGCATTGCGTCGTAGTCGGGAATCAGGCCTTCTTCGCCGTCTTCAGGGTCAATGAAGGGGAACTCGCCGAGGCGGAGCTTGAAGTCGATTGTGTTCTCGTGCGGTGGCTTCCATTTGAGAATGTGTCGATCTGTGCCAAACTGATATGGTGTGGATACACAGGTGAAGATTAGGCCATCGTTGCCGTGCCGGAGGTTTGGCAGTATGTTGCTGAACATGTCCTCAAGTTTATACGCTGCATAGGTCTTCTTGCCCTTGAGCGCAAATGGTTTGAGGTCATCTGGTCGGATGTTCTTGCCAAAAGTCCTCGTCAGGTACATTTCGTACGGTTTGATGACCCAATCGTGCAACCGTCCTAACCGCTTGTCTAGTGTTCTCCCCGTGACATTCTGCTCGTTGACTGCCAAACAATCAAAGACGTAGAAATTCAACCGCGGCGCAGACTCGTTTGGATACTGGTCATGTACTAGTTCGCCGTCCAGGATCGTGCCGTACAGAAAGGGCTCGGGTTCGTTTGGATGCATGTAATGCGGTATTCGAAAGGGTGGTCGCACATCGTAGTAATTGTTCTTGCGGTCAATCAGAAAGGTCAAAGGCTCAAAGGCACCCGTTGGCCCCTCCTGCCAGTGGAGGAAGAGAAGACAGCGCAAGCCGTCCGTCTTCTCACACATGAAGTATTCGTTCCGCTGAAGCTCGGCAATATGTTCGCGTGCAAATGATACGGGCTGGGCGCCTGGAAAGCGTACATTGTCGCGTTCGAGAAGGTCCGCGACAGCTTGTTTGAGTGGTTGCGCTTCATGGTTGGGTATGAGGAAGCCTGGTAGCTGTGGCGGGGGCGCATGTGACGGTCCCGTGGCCGGCATCTTGAAGAATGTAGTATGCTTTCGTGATAATACGCGGGTTTGGGTATTGCGTGTGCGTTATTAAGAAGGTGAGAGTAAAGTTATGGAGAATAAGCTAGACTGTGTTCGCGACTACTCCAACCATGAAACTACGCGCCAAGGTTTACCTAGTTACATAGGCCCAGTTATGTAAGCCGGAATAGTCAGCCACGTTGCGCTGTCAAGGCCTTGTCCATAGAAAAAAGTACTGATATTTCGAAGAGTCAAAGAATCACTAACTGATATCGTTTGTATTCACAATTTCCTGATCACGGGTTGACACATGGTTATTGAGGTCTCTGAACTGCGACTCAGGCACAGAACTTGGTATGGTCACTGTAGAGTTTATATTTATGGTGGTAGTAAGTGGAACCTGCATAAGTCGTCTAAATTGGTAATTTTTGCAATGTTGTTGTAATCATGTGCAATATCTGTATCATATTCACAATTCGCTAAGGGAAACCCTTGGTATAAATTGCGATGTCTTTTGCCCTCGTTTCGCATTACACTTGCTGTCTTCAATACATTTTTCATATAACCGAAACCGAAATGCACTGAAACAACGCCTATGAAAAAATGGAGACAAGAAACGCCCCCGAATTTTCCCCATTAGCCATGTGACTATTCGCTTGTCTGTCAAGTTTTAGTCCGTTCTCATGCACTCATTTGGTCTTGTCCTACTTCCCGTTCCCTCAAGGATGGTACCCGGGCGCAACCCAATAGAGTCCTTGTAAATGGTTGAGTAAAACGAAGGCAATGCGCAGTCTTGCTGTCGTGTCACTTGGTAGAGTGCTCGTGATAACGATGATACATTTACTCCGATTAGACATCTGCCGAATCGTGTGCCAACACATTGCGCAATGATTGAGCTGGAGTGAAGAGGTACTATGTCTGTTCATTGACAGCCGCGGTTCGAAATCGTTTGCCGAATAATGGCACAGACACATGGTCGGCCTAGCCAGATATTTGTTCATATAGATTTCAGACTTCCAGGGTGTCCTCTTCACAGCAGATCTGCAAGAAACAGCAACCTCAAAACTCGTAGAGGTCAACTGGTTTATGATGCAGTATACTCTGGGGGAGGTACTGTGTCTGCGATAGGTGGCGCCATGTGCCTTGACCCAAACTCATGTATTGATAGCGTAGTTGCCAGCGGCTGAGCATCCCAGCTCACATTGAGGTAGTGAGGTGGTTCCATAGGATCTACCTCTTGATACACTGGCCTAGGCTCTAGGTCGTATACTGGAAAGCCATCCTCAAGTTCAGATAGATTTGCCGCCAGTGGCACTGTGGTTAGGTAAACGGGTTGGGTACACACAATACTAGACCACTCTCGATCGGCACATTTGCCAGTGATTTCGATTTGTAACTCGTACTCCAAGTTCAGGCCATAGGTTGTGAAACTTGGTGTAAACTCGTGGCCTGTAAGCTTGACGTCTGCTATATCTAGTAAGGAAAGCCCATCGTATAGCAGCCGTCCATTTCCCTTTTCGTACTTCTTGTCGCAGAGCATGATGTGGCCCCTTTCTGCATGCATGTGTTGTTTCTTTGGAGGACGGGCTGATGGATCACTTGGCGTGAATATGTTGAAGATAAAGTTCAACTGAACTTTGAGGCGGTGTATAAACAGATCAGGCGGGCTCGCAAGCGATTCGGAACGCTGGAGGTGCTGAACACTGATGACAACGGGAACTTGGGAGCCAACAACTAGGACACGAGCAGGAGTCGCGGATATACTGAATTTGACATAGGGAATCTCGTCCAAGCTCTGGAAGCCAAAGAGCAACTCTTTGTCAGCCAGCTTCTCCTTGATCTTTTTAAGCTTTCCCGCCCTCTCTTCGTAGTCTTGGAACAGTTTGCGCGTGCGGATGAACTTTTGGTGGCTACAGTGTTTGGGGAGCGTTGTGCCAAAGTTCGTGTCTGGTTGGAGGAGTGTGGGATGGAGGTCGGGTGGTGGTGGCGTGTACTTGAGTTCTTGGCGTACCCTCACAGGCAGACTATCCGGATCGCTACTCTCCATGGTCACCTCAAGTTGATATACAATCTGCACATCTGGAGATGTTCCAGCACAACTCGGAGGTAGTGGAAATCCTGGAGAATGCTGAAAGCGTGGATGATTGAACGAGTCCTCCGGATAGAGCCAATCTCTATCTGTAGGCGGTAGGAGGCTCACATGTTGCGCAAAGGTGAAGGAGAAGGGCAGTTCTGCCTTTCCGGGATTTGATGAGCTTGTGGGCAGGAGATCGAGGTTTGAGCTATTGCCTGTAGAAACGAACAAATCCTGCGATTCTCGACAAAGTTCAATGTAGGTCGGCTTGCCAGAAGAATGCGGGGTGATGGAGAAGCCTCTTAGAATAATGTTGATGCGCGGAGATCGTGCTTGGGAGATGAGAAGAAGCCCTCTCACGTGATCTCCAGCCGTGTAAGCCGGCGGCGAATTGAACAGATGGATGTAGACGGGGTTGTCTCTGCGGTTGGCTCGTCTGCCAGCGAACGGCCCCTCAGGCCCCATAGTATCGAGTGGGTGTTTTGCACCGCTGAGGCGATTCAATGAAACAGTGGGAAAGACGCGTTATAAAGCAGTAGGTGACAGACGGAGGATGCATTGACAAACGGGGGATGCAATGACACCTTAACCCCCGGTCTCTTCCCCGGTCTCGGCGCCTGCATACCAAGCATCAGGGGTGTTCACGCATGAGCGCCAAAATGCCATGGTCGAGGCACTGCACGTGAATGCCATGATTGGTACGTAGATAACTACCGAACCGAGTGTGTAACCGGGTACAGGTGACAGCGCAGCCATGGCAGATGTGATGATTGGAGAAAACAACCCTCTTCACTGATGGAACGATGCTGCTTGATGGGATCATGTCGGGGGCGAGCATCTGTGTGAGGCGCATGGGAGAGAGATGCTTGCTATTGGGTCGTTCTGCCGGTCAGGGTGGTGCCGTCATCGATGGAGGGCGCGCGACTCGCGACTTCGCCAATTCCATCCAGGCAAAGACTGACTGCCTTTGCACAGCACACATCCGCACATACACACATTGCCCACAATGGCCTCCAGCTACATGTGCTCAGCCTGCTCACGCGCTATAAGCAGGTCCTCTACGCCCCTTTTGCAGGTACACAACCATGTTCCGCCATGCTGGCAGCAATTGACTTTTGTAGCCATCGAACAAATTAACCCTCCGCCAAGCGCATCGAACTTTCTCCGCAGCCACGCCAACCTTCTACCATGTGTCACACACCCGGTCGGCAGACGTAAGACCAGAAGCAATCAAGAAGCCGCACCCGAGCGTGGCATCAGGCGTGACTGGACTGGCACAGAAGTTGCGCGAAAAGGCCCCGCTGATGACTGAGACCTACGTCGCATACGGCGCAACAAGAGACCTGATCAAGGAATGCACCAAGCCGGGCGAGTACAAAATACCGCAGGCTCTGCTGAAAGGGGGTGAGATCCCCGTCGACGACAATGGCGTGCACCTGGGAGAGGGCGAGGGTTGGTGGTATGACAGTAAGTCTAGATTGTGGCACAGGCACGCATACACTTGGCTCACTCCTACACAGCCCTCGGACTGAAGCCAACCTTCTCCAACTGGGCGCAAATCACCTTTATTCACATGTACATGCTGCAAGTCCGTTTCCGCATGTTCCCCCAAACACATGCTCCTGTGTGGATCCAGCATCTCACCAACCATGCTTTTTACGCCGCCGAAGACCGTCTCGTGGTATGGCACAAGTTCAATGCCAACTCGCTGCGCCAAAAGTATCTCAAGGACATGTTCTCCCAGTGGCGCGCAGTGCTCCTGTCATATGATGAGGGTCTGGTCAAGGGCGACGCCATGCTTGCAGCTGCCATTTGGAGAAATCTACTCGGCGCCAGAGAGGACGCCGACTTTGAGAAGCTAGCCCAGATTGTAGGATACATGAGGAAAGAACTGAAGAGGTTGGACAATGCCACCGATGATGATGTGGCGAATGGGCAGTGGAAATTCCGCGGCAGTCCTGGAGACGAAGCTGGTCTCGTAAAGTCACCAAGTAGGTTGATGGCGACCGAGACGGCCAAAGTTTGATGAATTAATGGGAAGGAGACGACACCAAGTGTACTATACCTGTATCTACTACACGAGACACATGAAACCCCAAGGATTCATCTTCAATTACAGGATTACGACACAGAAGAGTGTTTGAAACACTACTACTCATAATATCTTCTCCCATCATGTAAAAATTAGTCGCAGGATATGTTGATTAGGAAACAAAGGGTACATATAACAGTCAACATTGGTGTGCTCCGTTCACAACTTGAGCATGCTCATTCAGCAGCCATACCCAATCCGGCCATGTACTGAACCTTTAGAGCACGTGTTCAAGGTGCGGAAGGCACCACTCGTCGCTCCTTATTCACCTGCACAAAAGAAAATACATGCAGCCCGTCATTGCTGTCCAATCACAACGACTACCAGTCCGCAATTTGGAAGAGATGGAGTGTATGGGTCGGATCTAGTTGACCTAATAGCCAATGCGAACAGAAAGCAACTGGTCCATACACTAGGCACTTTGCCATTTTGCCGTATTCCGAGACTTCGAGCTCCAAGACATACTATTTGCTTATGGAGTTGACGTCATCTTTGCAGCGCGACTGCTCTATTCACCCTGACAAACCACTTATCCTACAACATATGACCTTGTACATCCGCCAAACTCATCCTCCTAAAAACCATTGTACCTCGAAATTTGTGCCAGGAATAAAAGTCCACGTGGTTGGTATGTTGTTTCTCCGCGGCTGGCGACAAATTGGAAGACTCAAGATCCGGTGACTGACTTATTAAATTTTTCTTCAAACATATCGTACCTCAATGTCCCATTATTACAGATTTTCCAAAGCCATCGCTTTTTGTTGGCCCCGGCGCCAAAATTCAGAAGGAACTGGGATCGTTCCCTGACCTCGATTCACAACGCTTCAGCCAGGAACAATATCAATACGATCCGCGGGCTCCTCCGATACTGCAAGTTCGAAAGGAGCGGCGTGTCTGGGGGGTGGTACAAGATATCGCAACCGGTCTTGCAGCATCTCTGGTACGCTGATTCTCGAGCACACGATATGCCCTTGTCCATCAACTGCGGTAATCTCAAGAGCGGCATTCTGTTCCGAGATGGAGATTGATATCCTTGACGCGTCGGCACTACTAGCCCGCAGCTTAACAACCCATGAAAGCAGACCAGTAGTCGAGCTTGTCAGCCCACCCATGGGCGCTGCACGAAGAGTCAACAACTTCATGTTGACTTCATTGTGGCCCTTCTCCACAACCACTACGAAACGGCCATTGCAGGATACTGCGCCAGCAAGAACGCTTGATCCCACCACGCTGTCGGGTAGCGGTTTTATCAGTTGCCGGAGGGTTTGTGGGTTGGTTTCAAAAGTATCAATCGGCACGATGAAGGTTCGGGGGAGACTTGATCCTGGCTTGTGATCCACTGTGCAAAGAATGTAAGACCTTCCCGTTGGTGAAATAATCAGAGTGGCTGTCGATATCTCGTCGCGAAAAGCCTAGAAAAAGTCAGCCCTGGATGGAATGCTTGTAAAGATGTCTTACGCGTTCGCTGCTGCTCGCATTGCAGTCAACGTGCCAAATCGGGTCCAGACGCATAGTCGACTTGAAACTCAACTGTTTACTGATATTCCAACAGTATAAGTGGTTTCCTGTCGATAAAGCAAAAGCCATGAGGCCGTATACGGCATCACTCCGAAGAGGCGAAAAGCCGACGACCTTGATAGCCCCGTTGTTCTGCGGGCATGTCAATGTTGTGCAGTGGCTCTCGACATTCCAGCCTTGCGTGTAGATATACCTGAAGACCTTGACCCCGCTTGTCCCTTCCCCGCCCACCGCGATACTCGCAGTAGCTCCCCCTTCAACAGACGGAGCGCCCTTTTGCGAAATAGACACTGATCTTGGAGTCCAACATTCGTTTTGATCAATGCGCTGTTCCTTCACCAAAATGGGTACGCCGCCGCCATGTCGGCGGTACTCATCATAAACCAATAGGCGCCTATGGGTGATTACAGCAAGCAAATCCTCCGACAAAGCGATATCTCGTATTCTCTCGTCTTTATGCGACATGGGAATGCTCAACTCGGCTGCAAGTGGAATCTCTCGACTCTGGTTCCCATTCTGCACGTTGTATAGCCGTACTTGCTTGGACGAACACACGGCGACCCAGCCTGATGGCGAGACTGATGTCGCAACATCATACGGTTTGGATAGAAACCTCTGGCCAGGTCTGTGCAAGCGGGTTTCGGCATGCGAAGCAAACGAGGCTGGAAACAAAGGGAAATTCTCCACGGCTAAGGAAAAACGGCGCGTTGAGGGGTGCGAAGAACTGCTTGAAATTGACATCATCGACGAGCGCAAAACAAGGATGCCATGAGAACGAAAGAGGAGTTGTAGAGGGTATGGCCCACGGAGCACGGTGGGCCTTGGTTGTGAAGCAGCGGAACCGCGAACGCCTGGAAACGGACGGTCAGCCCGTGTTCTGGGGTCAGATACGGCGGCAGTTGTTATCAGTTGTGATGACTAGATCCAACTGGCATCGCGCATGCGCCTCAGCCTACGAACTCAACGTATGAACCATCGGTTACGTGGCCTGGACCACAGCGGCTTTTGACGTTTAAGATGTATCCAATTAGCAATTTCTAGCGGCGCCAGCCTGTATCTTCTGTCCATAAGCGTACACCGGGAGGCCGCAGCAAGCGTGGCTGTGATGCTAAAACGCACCCGCACGCCAGTCGTATTTGGCCGTGGCGTTTCTTAGTGTCATCTACCAACTTCACGTGTACAACCCGATGCAGCTGCGGTGATCTTGCCCGGATTCCCATTATCCTGACCAATCACAATCAAGCCAAGTCGTGTGCCAATATACCGTTTCTATCCCGAGGTGTTCCTATTGATTGTGGCTTCAGCAGGCAGAAGCGAGGACTGGCAGGACGGCACGCTGTGTAGTCTTGGTCTTTGGTCTTGAGGCGTGGGACCGGCGTACATCAAGTTGACACGCCCGGAAACCAGGCTGGCGGAAGGCTCAAATTGTTCCAAAGTGCTGCCTTGACTGGTTGTAGCACACTGCTGCGGCACGCGTACTTGGGGTGTCTCACTCATAGTCCCACTCTCCACGGTCCGCCTAATCAACGTTGCAGCCTCACAGTCGCCCTGACCCACCAGAAAGTATGGACGAAGAAGAAAGGCCATTAGATCGATCACCTTACTATGTGACACATTCTGAGCACCTCGATCGTGTCCTCAGCAGGCCTCAACTTGCAGGTAAGCTGGCCTTGGCTCCAGAGAAACGGCATTTTATAACGTCACAGGCATTGGAATTTCTGGCTGCATTGGCGGAGGCATCTTTATTACTTCGGGTGCCCTGATATCTACCACGGGATCGCTAGGAGCTGCTATCAGCTATGCCGTTGCGGGAGGAATCATCGCTTGTGTCATGTACACTCTCACAGAAATGGTGACATGCAGACCTTTGACTGGTTCGCTCATCGACCTCCCTCACACTTTCTTGGATCCTGCATGTGGGTTTGCAGTTGCATTCATGTATGGGTATGTTTTTGTTGCCGCCATTGAAATCGAAAGCTGATGGGAAAAGATTGGGCAAGATTTTCGCCATGGCTACACTCACAGCACACTCGGCAGAGCTCACTGCTCTTTTGAAGAGCGATCCAAAGCCACACTCTACTGGTGCAGAAACCGCCATAAACATTGCTTTCATTGCGTTGACAACTTTTTCCCATTGTCTTGGCGTCAAGGTTAGTTGAGACTTATAGATGATAAGTTGCACTCGAGCTTACATTCCATCAGCTTTATGGCAAAATCGAACGAGTACGCTATACTCAAACGTATCTCATGGAGCTGTGTCTAACATGATGTGTCCAGGTAGTTATGTGGTTCAAGATAAGTTTGCTTGTGCTTGTATGCGTAATGATGGTGGTGATCAACCTCGGAGGTATGCTATCAAAAATTTGTGATATTGCAGATGCTTTTCTGATATAATCTAGGCGGCGGTCCAAGGGAAGGAAAATATTACGGAAGTGAGTATCTGTCTCAATCAGCCACATTGTGTACACTAACCAGGACCACAGACTATACAACCCATGCTTTTACTCCCGATTGGAAACCAATTGGACACAATAGTACGACTGCCGATCCTCTGGCACTAAGAGGCGTCTCAGATCATGCTTATGGGATTTCTGGGGCTGGAGGCGTCCTGTTTTCATTCATGTAAGTGCTATGTCATCGTGTTGCAGCAGCTGGGTTAATGACCGGCCAAGCACTTCAATCACACTTGCCATGTTCTCTTGCTTCGGAACAGATCTCGTTGCAATGACCGCAGGAGAGGCGAAAAATCCCTGGAAGGATGTACCAATTACCATGTCCTTTGTGTACCTTGTGCCCCTCAGCATATATCCTTTTGCCATCTTCGCTGCTGGATCGAACGTCAATTACGCAAACCCAGACCTACCCAAGATATGGGCAAGAGGTGGAGGCGTTACGAGATCAGTCTTTGTCATCGCGGCCCAGGAATCCTCACTCCATGGACTGCCAAAGGCACTGAATGCGCTCTTCATAGTATCGGCATACACGACTGCAAATACTGACCTGTATGCAGCTTCGAGAAGCGTCTTCATGCTGTCACAACAATACCTCCCGCACAAAATCGCCAACATATTTGGTCGGACTAACAATGGCCATACTCCACTGGCGGCCATTCTGCTATGCTCAGCCCTGGGATTCATATCACTTATTGGCTTAGCCGATAAATCGGGATCGCAACCACGCATTACGCTGTCTGAGCTCTATACAGGGACGGCCACATGCATCAACCTCTGCCTTTGTATAACCTTTTTGCGCTTCAAAGCCGGCCTGGACCGTCTAGCCAAGCGAAAGATTTTCGGCAGAAACCACCCACTGTACAAATCTCGACTCTTCAAGTCGCGCTGGCAGCCTCTCCCCGCCTACATTGGCATCGTCGGCAGCGCATGCGTGATCCTCTGGTCTGGCATCCCCCCTTTCATCATCCTCGTCACAAAAAGCAACCTCACATCGACCAAAAGCCTCAAATCAACAATCAGCCTCGCCTTTGACGTGCTGGGCGCATACATCGGCCCCGTCCTCTTCGTCTGCCTCTACCTAACCTACAAATACATCTACCCACGCACCTCCGCCGTCGACATCCGCAACCTCACCGTCGAAGACTACGTCCTCCAAGATCTCTCCTACATCGAGCTCGAGGGCCCGGAGTCGGTCCCGCATATCCCGCGACCCCGCTTCGACTCGTACGAGATGGACGGCCAGAACGACGGCATTGCGAGTCCCGTAAATGCCATGTTCCAGGATCCGTTCAAGGAAGAGGGCACGTGGAATGTCAATGTTAGTGCGAATCCCGATTCGGATATGCAGGAGGAGATGGAGGCGGAGGCGGCGCGCAGGAACGAGCGCGCGCGCATCAGACGGATTCTCGAGCAAAGGCCGATGAGGATGGGGCGCGGGTTTTGGAGGGAGGTGTGGAGTTTTGTTAAGACGGATAAGGAGGAGTGAATTTTTTTTTCTTTTATCTTTTTCTTGTTTAGTAGCGAATCAATCTCACAACATATTTACTTCATCTTCACTATCCAATTTTTTTTGAAATGGTTATGGTTGCTGCATTGAAATTGTTTTTTTCTTTGGGGAATGAAAGGGGAAAAACTCTCTTCCAAGGGACTGTCTTACATTAATTTCGTGATACGAGCCAGACGAGATGAGCCGCGGCTTTGCATCGGAATGTGGAGTGGTTGCATGTACTTACTGTAGCTGTGAGCGCGGCCGGTCGGGAAAAGTCGGGGGTTACTTGCGGACCACGTCCCATAACGGATTGCACCGACGGGCAAACCTTTAATATGTAGTAACTACTTGAATGTATTGAAAGAGAAAGTGAAAGAGAGAAAGAAAGAAAGAAAGAAAGAAAGAAAGAAAGAAAGAAAGAAAGAGAACGGGTAGAGAATACATTGCATTTGAATGTTTGTTAATGTTTGATATTTGATTCTGAAATATGATACATGATTCGTAGCCCCCTCTATTTTTTCTAGAGGGTTTCTCTTTGACGCCAGATGCTATGAAAGGAAAAAAAACGCTAGATGCTATGCTGAGCGATGAAAATGATGTCTGTCTCCTTCAATTCCGCAGGGCACACGAGCCGGGGACAGCTTGAATGCTGTGATGGCCGTTGCTCGTGACCTGGTATGCAGTGTGGGGTCCATGGCGCGCAGCGCATGGATTTCCTTGTTCTCTCTCGTGCCTTTCTTCGGGTCCTTCCTGTGGCGTGTGTCCGTTGTTGCACGCAACACTGGTCGTTTCTGCTCGGCTAGTTTCTTACAACCTCCCCTCTCAACGCCTCGCCTTCACTCATTGCACCTCGTAAATCTCCATGGCACGCTGAAGATCCTCGATGCTGGTCTTGTCGCCGTACGCCTCCTCGAGAATCTTGTTCCTGTCCTTGCGCGTAGTGAGCCTGGCTTCTAGACCGGCAATGGCGCGCTCCATGTCTTGCAGGCTAGAGCGCTCGCCATAGGCGTCCATGAGCATCTGGTTCCTTTGCTCCTGGGTCAGCTCTAGTGCAGAGTGGACCTTGCGGTTGGCATCATTGAGGGCATTTGTAACACCAAAACCTATGTTAGCATTAGCATCACCAAGCGAAAGTGGCCGGCGAGGCTGCGACGATGATGCATCTCTGGGAAGATAGATCATACCGATGGCTACCATGGCCATGGTAGGGAGGTACCTGGGTCTTTGTTAGTCCTGGCTGTATACAGGTGGTGATTGACTATGCAAGTAGTAGACGCACCATCTGGCGACCCTTCCGAGCTTGGGGACAACACTGGCGCCTGGGGCGGCTGCCATGTGTGCTGCTGTGGCATCCTCGAGGGAAATGGCAGTGCGAGCACGTGCAGAGGTGGTGAAGAGCCTCTGGCGAACGAGGGTCGAAGTGCGGAGAAGGAAAGACATGTTGTTGGCGGTTGTGTAGTAGGAGTGGCGGAAAGTGAAATGGCCAGTGGGTGATGGTCGAATAGGGCAGATGTGGGTTAACTTATATCCCGTTGGTGGTGGTGGTGGTAGTGGTAGTGGTGGTGATAATGGGTAAGGGCTTGGAATGTGGATGTGATGGCCAAGAGGAGCGTGTATCGGCCGCGGTTTGGTTTCTGGCAGGGAGATGTCTGATTGATGCGTGGAACGGTGTGTTCATGCGTGGTGATGCGTGATGTGTTCCGGTCAAGGGATTCCAAGGCGCGGACTATGCAGCCTGTATATACGGCGGCGTTGTGCGGGGAAATGCAGGTCACAGGCGGGCTGTGCACCAGTGTCTCTCCACGACCACCCTCATGTCATGCCACGAATCACAACACTTGACATCACCGGGCTCCCTGACCCTGAGAGTAACAGACGGCCAATCCGAGCCATTGTCGTGCCGTGTGCGTGTCTTCAAATCCGGGGACTGCTGACGTACCGTGCTGCTTCTCTCCCGGCCGCGCATCGAAGTCGCCTCTCTGTATCCATCGCAGCCGCGCCCACTTCTCTTACTACTACCACTACTACTTGGCGGCCGTGACCCGTCTGGGATGCGTTTCGGCTGTGAGGACGGCAGCGGCCGACACCCAATTGCACGTCAGCGGGGCGGGGGGTTGCATCCAGGTGGAGTTAGCTGTGTGCTGATGGTGGTTAGACGACCGTCTTTCGATTGTGGGGTGAGGCTGCCGGTCACGAGACTCGCCCATATCCCGCCATGCTGATGTCAGTCTGCATATCCACAACCGGTTCCTCGTCCGGCCAGACACCTCAACCTCAACACCACGGTTTTTCTTCATGTCTCCCATCGTCATTGGCACCCGATGCAAATTTCTTCTGCAGGACATTTAACAAGTCCCGGACTATGACAGCAGCAGAACAGCCGCCCCGGACTTTTGTGTCAAATAAATACCACAGTCGGTCCAAATGCCTTACGCCATGGAAGCACTGACAAATGTTTCGTCAAACACGAAACATGCGCCTCGCTAAGTCCAGACAATTAGGCAACACGCCATAGCTGGTCGACAACAAAAGTATAACTTTGAAACGCTCCTCGAAGCCATGAGTTGCGCGCGTACCTTGAGTTGATGCTCAGCTCAGTAAAGACACGGTGGGATAATGCACATGCTGGCACATAAAAACAACTCTAGGGTTAGCTTGGAAGAGACCCAGTGGCTGTTGCTTGATATAATGGCCGCTCATCCACCATTAGATCTGCTCACTTCTCTATACGCACAGTATATAGTGGTCCTGAATTTCCTAAAAAGTGCCAGTTTGCTTGGCCACTATGTCCATGGCATACGTCCTCATTTGTACTCAGAATGCCCTAGACTACACAGAAACCGCCGGTAAAGTGACTTGTAACCTGCACAGTCAGCCCAAACCCCCTTTCATACTGGATCCATCCTTGCAGTCGTGTCTGCTCCCGTGAGTAATTGGTACCGCATAGATAGAACCATGCTGCTTTCACATCCGACACTGCAAAAGCGCATATTATTGATTTCAAGATGTGAGATGTGCAGATAACTCTTCCTAAAGCAAAGAATGGCATGTTTGGTGGGACACTGTTGAGTCAGCAGTGGACCTAAGGTAGCATTAGATAAGAAAAATTGACTAGGTTCAAAATCGCCATTTGCATATTGGCCTTGGCCGTGTAAATAGCACAATGCTGAGAGACGTAGATGGATAAATTGATGACATCATGTAACGTTTCCTGCACCTCTTAGGCAATACAAAGACATATAAATGCCCCGGTGTTCTGATAGTCCTCTGTTATGAGCGAAATGATTTTAAAAGAAAAGTTAATTTGGTAATAACCTGTCGATCAAGAAAAAGAAAGTACAAGGAGACGCATCGGCGGTTGCAGACTTGCCTCAACCAGACCCACTGTATCCACCGGAAGCAACTGCCGTCTCTTTTGCATCCCAACCACAAAACAGTTCGACGAATCAAATCTCAGCTCGCCCAACCAACAGCATATACCGAACCCTTTAGGCAGAAGAGCCGCAGCTGTTTGCCCGGCATTCAGCCCCCATTTCAGCCAAGCTTTGCCGTAAAGCTTGAGCGCGGATGGCGTTGCTTGGAGCGTCGCCTACAACAAGTCAAGCATCCGATGTGCGGCTGCCGACTTGAGAAGCTATGTGGTAGCTAGCGATGGAGCCGTGGCGACAACAGCGCAGGATATTGATTTGGGAACCCCATGGGCCCGCATTTCACTAATGAGGCCTATCTCTGGGGCCTCCACTGAGGGGATCTCTGCGAGAGTCTGCTTCCGAGGAAAATAACTTGGGGAACGGAGAGTACATAGCATGAAGACGCCACTGACGGATGCCAGCCGAAAGATTGCTTGCCAGTCTCTTTTTCTCTTCATCTCTACGGCATTTCCTGTGCGTGTACGTTACTGATAGTCAGGATGGAAAGCAAAACAGTTGCGACAAATAAGGGCCTTGTTGCCGATAGCCCCAAGTACAGCGAGGACCTCGAACATGCTGCTACTCACGGCACATACCTCGGCAAGGAGGAAGCATCTCATCTCTCCGAAGAGCATCGCCAATACCTGCTCCAGCGTCATGGCACACTCGATCTCGACCCTCTCCCTACCATGGGGGCCGCTGACCCGTACAACTGGCCTCAGTGGAAGGCAAGTGGCCCTTAACTTCTCTCCACTAGCATTCCTTTCTAACCAACAATCAGAAAGTCATGAATGTCCTTTTCGTAGCTTTTCACGCTATGATGTGTGCGTTCCCCGCATCTGCCATTATCCCTGCCTACGAAGAGATATCCCAAGACCTGGGTGTCAGCATCCAAAAGGCATCGTACCTTACTTCCTTGCAAATTGCCATCTTAGGTGGTGGACCATTATTCTGGCGACCTCTCTCAACACGATATGGCCGGCGCCCCATCTTCATCGTCTCACTGGTCGGAAGTCTAGTCTTCAACATTGGCTGTGCCAAAAGCCAGACCTACGCTGCAATGGCAACATGCCGCGCATTCCAGTCTTTCTTCATTTGTCCACCCAACGCCATCGGCAGCGCTGTCGTAGTCGAAACCTTTTTCCGCAAAGAGCGAGCAAAGTTCATGGGCATATGGACTGTCATGATCACTCTGGGTATACCTCTTGCCCCCCTCATCTTCGGCTTCGTAACATACAACGCGGGCTACCGGTGGATCTACTGGATCCTCGCCATCATCAATGGCGTCCAACTCATTCTCTACTCCCTCTTTGGCCCCGAAACACGCTTCATGCGGCACGACAAGGCGCAGCACGCGCAATCCGACCTCGCAGCCTACAAAAAAATGTACCTGAAATTCCGCCGCATCGACCCCACTCCCATGAGCCTATACGAATTCATATCTCCCCTCCGCCTCTTTGCCTACCCCTGCATCGTCATCCCCGCCTGCGCATACGCCATGGTCTTCCTCTTCGCCTCTGTCCTCACCACCGTCGAAATCCCCCAACTCTTCATGGAGAAATTCCACCTCAACGCCCAGCAGCTCGGCCTCCAGTTCCTCGGCACCATAGTGGGCACGGCGCTCGGCGAGCAAATAGGAGGCCACTCGAGCGACCGCTGGATGCGCTGGCGAGCAAGAAAAACTGCGCCTTTACGGCCTGCCCCCGAGTTCCGACTCTGGCTCTCATACATTGGGATTCTGCTGACTATCTGCGGTATCACTGTTTTCCTGGTGCGGATCGAGCAGGCGGCCCCGCTGCAGTGGAATGTCACGCCCATTGTTGGTGCGGGCATAGCCGCGGCTGGGAACCAGATTGTTACCACGGTGCTGATGACGTATGCGGTTGATTGCTATCCCGAAGAGGCTGGTAGCATTGGCGTCTTCATCACATTTGTGAGGCAGATTTGGGGCTTTTTGGGCCCGTTTTGGTTCCCGGATATGTTTGACAAGGTTGGGATTGCGGATAGTGCGGGTGTGGCGGCTGCGCTGCTGGTTGGGGCGAGCTTGGTGCCTGTTGTAGTTACGCACTGGAAGGGATTTAGTAGTAGAGGAGGTATGGCGGAGATTGGGTGAAATGGTAGAAGTAGGAAGAAGGGAATATGTACTTGTTGTATTTCCATCTTTACATACTGGCTTCGGCTTACTTGTCTAGCACCAGTACGAATTTAGTCTACAATCCAAGATCGAAGCCTCAGGATACTCTGATTAATTAGAAAACTAACTTTGTATTTTTTTTAAAAAATTACAGGAATGCTCACAGCTTTGGCCCAAATCCCTCCTTATCACACAGCTCCTCCGCCTGCGCCACAACATCAACTCCATACACATTCGCCTGCACATCAGCATCCGCCCAGCGATCCGGGACCTTGCCCTTGCCCTCCTTGAGAGCCGCAAAAGCCTTGTCGCGCTCCTCCTTCGCCTTACCCGCACCCAGATGCATCTGGCGCCCGCTCTCCGCCGCAAGTTCAACCAGCGCCTCAGCCCTCGGCTTCCGCAGCTTCTCGTACAAGCGCAGTGCGCGCTCAATGGTTTCGGGCCTGCCATCTGCGATGCGCTTGGGCGACAAGACAACACCGAGGACAGCACCGTCTTCAATGGCTTGCGCGGCGCCCTGAGCCATGTGCGGGAGCGTCGGGTGGCATGCATCGCCTACCAGTGCAGTTGGGCCGTGGACCCACGTTGTCAACGGGTCATGGACTCTGAGCTTCCACTCGACGACCTCGCCTTCCGGCACCAAGTTCAGCATGCGGTGGATCATGGGGCAAAAGTCGCCGTAGACGTCCAGCATGGCTTTTTTGCTGCCCCTTGTCGTGTATTGTGCGTCTGGGGCGCCGGCAAAGTTTGTGTCTGGCTGCGCGGTGGAGATATTGTAGATTTGCTTGTTGTGGATCGGGTACGCGATGATGTGTTTCTTCTCGCCGATCCAGCGTGTCACCGTGTCTGAATCGATGAGCTTGAGTAGCTCGGGGTCGTGCTCCATTTGCGAGCGGTTCAGCATGATGCGGTAGGCGGCTTGGCCAGAGTCACGCGCAGCGCCTGTGTGTCCGAGTTCCTTGAGCATGGCAACGCGGGTGCTGCTCTTGACTCCGTCGGCGCCGAGGAGGATGTCGCATTCGACCTGGTAGGGCTCGAGACTGCCTTGAGATGGAGTGACTGTGAATTTGGGCTTGGAGCCGAAGCGAAAGTCGGATAATGTGCAGCCCAGCTTGAATGTAATGCCGCTCTCCTTCTTGCAACCTTCGAATAGACCATTTGCAAGACTGGCTCGGTGACCAACCATGTGTGGGTACCCGTACTTTTCTTTGACGTATCCTAGATCTACAAATCCCAGCTCCTTGTCTGTTGAACCTTCCTTTATGGATGTGTTTGCGCATACGACGGCTTCGTCACGGATTGGGCCCCAGCAGCCTAACCGGTCGAGGATGCGGGCCATGTTGGGTGCCAGTTGGATGCCTGCGCCTACGAAGCCCATGACTGGAGCATTTTCATATATCGTGATGTTCTTGTGGCCGGCTTTTGCAAGGGCGAGAGCCGCGGCAAGGCCGCCCATACCTAAGATACTATTAGTGGATGCACTCGGAAGGCGCGAATATAGATTGAAGAAGCACACCTGCGCCAACAATGGCTATCCTCGTTTGCTCCGCCATATCTTTTGCTTTGAACAACTTTGACTCGGACACTGCGTACTTGGCTGTACAGTAGCAGTCCACTTAGGTGAATGGTTGAGGCGGCGGTAAAGTTGTGTTGTTGACGATATTATGGTGGCTGACTTGCTGAATTCCAGCTTTACCAGTATATCGTACGAGGTATCTCTATGTATGTATGTATGTAGTAATGCGCAATTCGATTTGTACCCCACAAAACCCCACAGCTTGTAAGGTATGGCCAACAAGTAATATGTAAAGGAATGCCGGATGATGTCTTAGCCGGAGTTATTGCTTCTTTTTGAGTTGATTGGGCACAGTGCGAAATGCCACACACGATTGTTCAATGATTGGGCGGAGTCGGTCGGTAATTATATATGTTTCTACGCAGCAGACATCTGCCTGGCTCGAGTCCATCCAAGTATGTGTATTGTGGGTTGTTGTGGAAGCCAGCCAACAGTCCCACTGTAGGCGGGGCTACGCTTAGGATATCTCTTGTGCCTTGCCCCACCACCGACGCCGGGAATGCCGTCCCCACGGAGAGACGGAATCACGTATCATACAATCGGCCCGACACGACTGTGCGTCTACGACCATACCTATGCTCCACGGGGTGTAGAATGCTTGTAGGTACCAGTCAATCGCCAGACTCCTAGGAATACTGCATGCGTACATGGAACAATTCCGATTGAGCTGTTGGCAACAAACTACCTGTTCTACGCATGTTGCATTACTATAAGATCGGAGAATAGACGTCTATCGTTCACACCGCCTAGCAGTCCAATTTACCATTCAAGATGGCTGACATCCGCGATATAAACGTACCAGTTAGATGTCAATTAGATGAATGCAAGCCCATCAGCCCGTGTGGCTGTCTCGTCAAGAGCACACCGACATCAGCTGTACGGGTATGCAATGAGGGGCCGGATGCCCCGCGCTAATGTTTGATGCGGGATGTGGGGACATTTCTCCTGTCATTCCAGACAATACCATCATCGCTCCAGCCATCGCATGAGGAGCCAATACCAAGCCGTCAGCCGTCGTCTTTATTCTAGCCATCATTGACTGGCGTATTGGGGGACACGCTTTCGAGAAGCCCCAACCTCAGACGACCGGGAAAAGTGTTCATCCGGCAGTTGTGTCGAGGCTAGCTGGAACTCCTGCTGACAATTGAGACGTCGATTGCGTGGACTTCGGAGTCAGATTTAACCCCTTGAATCAGTTTATACATCGTGTGCTGCGGACTGCACAGTAGCGCTGACCGTCGTGCCCAATACGCAATAAGAAAGTCCTTTGCCTGTGCTCTGCAAAACTAATACCGCACAGACATGGCGGAACGACGAAGCTCTTTTGATCAAGCCTCGGCTGGCTTTCGGGCCCATTTGCCAGATCTATCCAGTCCGCGCTTCACCACAGGTGCCAAACAAGACATATACCAATATGTCCAGTCAATGCAAGACAACCGTGCCCCGCCGTGGTTGTACGACTTGACAAAGGTATGGGAAAAGCTGTTGGAAGAGCCCTACACAGGTGTTACCAACGATGGCAAAGTACGACCAGGTCTTTTTAAGGCCCAAGACGAAGGTGCCAATGTCCAGGGTGCGTTCGAAAAAGCAGGAGAACTTTTAAAGAGCTTGGATGATGAGAAGAGAAAAAAGTTGGTGTATCCGATCAACGCGAGAGAATGGCGGGCATGGAGCAACCCAGAGTTCCTACTAAGGCCATTTGGACTAAGGCTCGAGGAAGGTAAGAAGGCCTTTAGGCAAAAGTTTTGATACCGTACTAATATTAGCAGTGCCGGAAAGTACTGCACAGTCAATCCTCGCCGTGGTCGAGGCGTCCTTGTCGCCAGAAGGCTACCAAAAGGCACTATCTGCTATGCGCATCAATCATTTCCTAGGAGAAGTCGTCAAGCTCCCCAACATCCTGAACAAGTATTCGTACAACTTTCTCTTGTTCGGGACGCCCTCTACATCCGCATCTTCACCATGGGGCTGGCTCCTTTACGGCCATCACCTCGATATCGCATGCTTCTTCAAGGGGCCTCAGATCGTCATTACTCCCTCTTTTACCGGCGCAGAACCCAACATCATCGACCAAGGTGAATGGAAAGGAACCCAGATCCTTCACAGGGAAGGCAGTCTCGGTTTGAAGCTGATGCAGAGCTTGAGTGCAGAGGAGCAGCAAAAAGCTCAAGTCTTCAAGAAGATGAGGGATGAGGGCATGAAGCAAGTTTACGGCAACTCCAACAACGACGAGAGCAAGCGTGACGAACTCATCACTGACACGTGGGGCCCAGATGACCAGCGTCATCGCTGTGGCGCCTTCCGAGACAACCGGGTTGTCCCTTATGAGGGTATTTTAGTCTCTTCGCTCAACCCCACCGAACAAGACCTTATCTTGGCCATTTGTCATGAGTTTCTTCTTTACCATCCATCCAACGCCCGTGAGCTCAAGCTCAAGCAAATCAAGCAGCATCTTGACGAGACATACTTTTGCTGGATTGGTGGCTTCAACGATGATGACGCGTTCTACTTCCGGGTCCAAAGCCCGGTTATCCTGGTGGAATTCGACCATCATTCTGGAGTCTTTTTGACAAACAAGGAGCCAGCCAAGTACCATACGCATACTATTGTGCGGACACCTAACGCGGGAGATTACGGCCAGGCCATTAGGGATAACCATGAAAAACTAGAATAGTTTGTTTGTACTGACATCAGGACCCGAGTCAATCAGAGACAGCGGTCAAAAAGGACAAAATAGTGTTGCATGCCGTGTTGGAGTTCGTCGGATGACATTCTCCGAATCCGTCCGAACGTGATATCGGTGTCTTTTACTCAGTTTCTCCGCTGAATTTTTTCATTCTACGAGAACAAATAGCATGTGCAGAGGAATACGGAAAACACGACAGTTTGGTTCAAAAAACCGTCTGCCGCAAGTCATGCACTAAAATATACTAGAGTCTCCGCGGGAGAGGAACAGGAAGGCAATCCTTCGTTCCTGACATGATGTGGGTCCAACTACAACACCATAGCCAATGGTGGACCTAACTGTGCCGGGATATCCCTAAGCGGCTTGACTACTGGGCGCAGCTAACCTTGAAAGAAAACGCACCTCTTATCGACTTCTACTTTTGGTAACTCCCCCAGGAGGAGATCACCACTCGGCTGTTTGCATCCGCAGCAAGATTGACAGAAACTCATGCAGGGCAGAGGGATAGAACCATGCCATGGCTCGTATACGTTATTTACGAAACTTGCGGGATTCGACATTGGATGCCTTGGTGGTAATCCAATTTCTCTTTTCACTCAGTGGAGATTAAGAGATGGATGATCTTTTTAAAAACCCACTTGGCTCCCCGCTCTTGCCACGCTGATACCCCAGGTACACCTTTTCAAAGGACCTTTTCGCTCCTTCGATTTGATATTCACGGTCGTTTCCTCCACCACACTCGTTCATCCAATATAATATACTTAGCGTACTTAATTCGTAATCATGTCTTTCAGCATCCGCAACACAATTGCCCTGGGCGCCTTGTCCGCTCTCGCCGCGGCACAAACCACGCCGCCTAAGCTGGACGCAGCCTGCGCCGATGTAGTCATCTTCATGGCTCGCGGCAACGACGCTCCTTACCGTGACGGACGCACCTTTCCATTTGTCGAGGCAACCTGTGGCAAGTTGATTGCTGAAGGCAAGACATGCGACCACATTGATATTCAGTTCGACGTTACCCTTGGTGGAGACTACTGCGCTCAGGTGGCTGAGGGGGCCCGCAATGGTATCTCTCAGATTACCGCCTTCAACCAAAAGTGCCCTTGCACACACATCGTGGTTAATGGCTACTCTGAGGGAGCCCATGTTGTTGGCGATGTATTGGGTGGACCAGGTGGATGCTCCTTTGTGAGCAACGGTCTTGACAGCACCTCTCCTGCTGGCAAAGCAAGTAAGTATACACAGGTTTTGACTTTGCTTTGGTTCAATGCTGACTTGGATAAGTCGCTGCGGCTCTGCTGTGGGGAGATGTCATGCACACCGCGAACCAACCTTACAATGTTCTCGACGGTGCCAGCAAGCAAAAGAACCCACGCTCGTCTGAAGACCTCGCCCGTTTGAACCGCTATGCTCCTGTTCTTCGCTCCTACTGCGCAGCTGGAGACCCAGTTTGTGCTGGAGGCGAGATCGTAGCTGATCACCTGAACTACTTTGAGCTCTACACTGACGAGGCTTCGTCCTGGGTCGTGTCCAAGATCAATGGCGTTGCACCTCTGCCTTCTTGCGCTTCGTCCAGCTCTTCCAGCTCGTCTTCTGTGCCCACACCTACCGCCAGTGTGTCCGCTTCATCTGTCGTACCCACACCTACCGCTAGTGTGTCCGCTTCGTCTGTCGTACCCACACCTACCGCTAGTGTGTCCGCTTCATCTGTCGTCGTACCTGCCGGCTCCTCGAGTGGGGGTGAGCCTTACATTCCTACCCCTTCTAAGGACGCAGAGACACCATACCCGACTTCTCCAGCAACTATTTCTCCATTCCCTCCACCGGTCGACTACGATGCGTGTGTCCTCCAGGTTCACGTAGAGTACGTCTACGCCCACATGTAAGTGTGTGAGAGATGGAACGTGGAAAAGAGTGGTTGGCAGTTGTGGTGGTAGTATCAAAGAGCACATACTCAATACATAGTTGCAAGTTCCGAGGAAATATCCTGGTTCTACCAATACAAGACTATGTTACTGGACCTAGTGCTGGTGCCTGCGTATAAAATGCCGACGATGATTCCATAGTGCCGTTGATTTCTGCAGGGATTACCTGAAACAGAACCAGACATTTCAATATTGGTTATTGGGTTTGCTGGTAACATACTTATACTATTATCCCAGAGTGAAAGTGAGAATGGAGTCTTTGGAAAATACGAGAAGACCAGCTGTAAACCCAGACTTTGCAATGTAAAGAGGGCGACAAGCATATCGGGAAGAATTGGATTTTCATATACCCAGAGCAAAGAGACCAAAAAAAGTATGTAGATACCACCAATACGAAAATAAACGTGAAAGCCGTTAAAAACCGTTGACACTGTAACGCCGTAATGCGATCCCTGCACCCCCGCGGACTTTGGGAACCTCACGTCACCTTTACACCCGAGTCCGGCTCTACTGCGCTCCACGGCCCAAGAAGAGGTACAGTATGCAACACAGCAGCATCTGGAAGTGACGGACAACTATATATCGTGACAGGCATCCCACCCGAACTCTCTAAGCCCTACTACCAACAACCATTCCAACACCATGTATCGAATACGACCGCCCTTGCAAATCCTCAGCGCAACACACCCACCTCTCCCGCGCCCGCGACCAGCCCAACTCCGCTTCTACCAACAACTCCCTTTTGGCCGGGGTCCACGACCCCAATATAAGCGCTTCTCCAGCCCCTCTGGCGGGCTCTCCGGGCTCCTCTACCGCTGGGCCGCGCGCCCAACCTTCTACCGCGACATTGGCATCCTCAGCGCAGGCGCCGGTACCATCTACCTGTACAACCTGGAAGAAGTGCCCGTCTCGGGCCGGCGCCGCTTCAATATCATACCCGCGCAGCTTGAAGAAGCCATTGGCCGCTCATCGGTCGACCAGGTGCGCCAGCAGTACGCCGGGCGCATTCTGCCCGATAACGACGTGCGCGTGCGCAAGGTCAAGAAGGTGCTGCAGCGCTTGCTGCCGTATGCCGAGGGCGAAGGGCTACAAGGACTCGACTGGGAGGTTACGGTTATCGAGAGTCCAGAACAGAATGCGTTTGTAGCGCCGGGGGGCAAGGTGTTTGTGTTTACGGGCATCCTGCCGTTGTGTCGGGATGAAGATGGGATTGCGGCAGTGTTGGGACATGAGATTGCGCATGTGGTTGCGCATCATACTGCGTATGTTGGTTGTTTTTTTTTTGCCCCCTTCTTCCCTTCATATACACACTTTGCTACTACTACTACTACTACTACTACTACTACTACTACTACTACTACTACACATGGACTTTGGCTGATGCAACAGGGATATTTAGAGAACGCATGTCTCAAGCCCCCCTCGTTCTCCTCGGCGTCCTCGCACTCTCCCTCTTCGACATATCGCTCTACTCGGGTAAACTCCTCATCGACCTCTTTCTCTCCATGCCGGCCTCGCGCAAGCACGAGGCTGAAGCCGATTTCATCGGCCTCATGATGATGGCGCAGGGCTGCTACCGACCGCAGGCTGCCATGGACTTTTGGGCCCGCATGGAGAAGATGGGCGGTGGGGAGCCCCCGCAGATACTGAGTACCCATCCGAGCCATCATAATCGCGAGGAGAAGATTCGCGAGTGGTTGCCCAAGGCGTTGGAAAAGGCCGAGGCGAGTGAGTGTTATGGCACGAGTCAGTATGGTATGTGTTTTGATCTCGTTTCACGTTGTTATCGTGTATTTCTTTTCTTTTTCCTCTTTTTTTGTTGTTATCGAGGAATATCTGACTAACGACATGTTACAGCAAATCAATTCAGCTCTGCATTCAGTGGCCTTGGAAGGTGGTAATACGGCCGTTGCCGTGCCTTGTATTCTAACGAGTGACTGTACAAAACATTAACGATTAACTAATAATGATAACGATCTACGGTAGAGGATGCCTTTTTGCCCAAATTCGCCGCCCCTGCACCGACAAATTCAAGCTTCTGCCAGGTATCATAATGTCATAATTTTTTGTACTCTATCCCGGTCGGGTCGCCGGTCTGGACCCGCGTCAGCTTTTGGACGTCGGACGGTTTTGCTAAATCGACACTCAATCTACTCATGGCTTCCTCCTCCTCTGCCACGGCCGACAAGTCGTCGTCGTACCGATGCCTGCCCGCGTCTTCGCCCACATCGATCTCCTTGTCTATAATTACACTTATATTAATGTCGATGCCCTTGCCCATTTCCTTTTCCCGCACCGTCAACCTCTTTTCGTCTTCAAAGTCAAAGCTCTTGCGATTCTTCTCCAAATCTTCGCTTCCATCTCTGCTCACTAAATCTTGCTCTGCCCAGCTCTCAGGGTACCCGGGCAGGGTGGGCATCTCCGAGGGTGTGGCGGGCCGACTGGACGACTGGAAAACGTGCTTGAACAGGGGATAGAGACAGGGAAGAGAGGCTGCGAGGATGCTGACGTCGACTTCGATTTGCGACCAGACTGGAACCCAGGCCCAGCCCCTGAAACCATGTTAGTAACAGTAAACAACACATACAACATGCAAGACCTACCAGCTGAAATCATTGTCCTGCCAGGCCCTTCCTGGTTTGACCGGCCTGCCAGCCATGATAATTTCACATAGCCGCATAGTGCTAGCTATAACAGGAATCAATCCGACAGAGAGGACGACTACCAGAGCCGCTATACCAATTGTTAGCTATGGTCGAATACAGACGCAGCAATGGTAAACGTACTGCGTTGTCTACGATTGAACTTGAAGAGCCGTAGCAAGGGTAGGGGAAACATGAGAAGGACAATGTCGGTAGCGACGTTGATGGCGGCAGAGGTAATCATGAACTCGGACACATCGATGCATCCTCCGTCATTGACGTGCACAATGTCCCAAATGCGAGATATGGGTACACACAGAAAGAGCTGGGCCTGGGCAATGCGACTGTTAGTATGGGGTAACAACGTACTGTGCACTGGACGAGGCGAGCAACCAGAACGTACCGTGAACGAGGAGATGCCAAATGCAGTCATGAAGCCTGCGACTGTCCATACAGCAGGAGCCTGGACAATCCACGGTAAACCTTTTCTCCCATAGCCTATCCTATAGTATAGGGCAAGTATGCTCATCTTGACCGCCCTAATTTGTGAGTTAGGAGTTGGGCAGTGTAGCAGACAGGAGATGCATACCAGTTTGCGACAAAGTATATGAGCATATTGATCCACTGGTACTAGTGGGCAGTCAGTAGTCTGTGTGGGCGCAAGAGTGATGCGAAGCATACCATGAGCATGTGGTTGAACTGCTCGATGCGCAACTCGGTGGTATGGCGACCCTGGCCATGCTCGACTTGCAGTATTATGGTGACTGTCTGGGCAGCCCCAAGGACAGTAGCAATGGCAATGAAGATGTCGTCGAGGCCAAATCTCTTGACAATACATGCACGTGTAAAGCAGCTAGACAGGGTTAGTATACAAGTCATGCAGGGTGGGTGGTGTATGTATGTATGTACCGGAGGGCGACAAACGTCACGGCAACGGTGTACATGGCGAGGCTGACTCTGGCCAGCAGCGGACCTTGGTCATGGCCGTTGGCAAAGACAATGTGGCCCATTGCGTGTAGGGTAGGATAGTGGGAGACGCAAGGCGAGGAGTTGGGACATGGGGTTGTGATGGCGAGCAAGGGACAGGGACAGGAGAAGAAGGGAAAAGGCAAGAGGCGATCGGGCAGACGTGCGATAGCGCCGATGGGGCCTATTTCAGATCTAATACAGATGTGAAGTCAGCAGGAAGGATGGCGACACTGGCAGTGTACCATGTCGATCAGCGCGTTGCAAACGTTTCCGCCGCATGATTGACGCGGCGTTATTTGAAACGCCAGGACGAACTTCCAGAAGCAAGCGGTACGATAAAAACGCGAAGGAGCCATGCGGCCCGTGCGCCAGCCTCGAAATTTATACGTGGTGAGTGACACTGGTGTGACGAGGCCTGTCGCAACGCCTCTCTTGAAACCATGTTTGGGTCGACGACTCCCAATGACATGGCAGCCAGGTGCGAAGAACCCATGGCCTCAGGTGCCTGCAGCGGCAGAGGGTGTTGAGTGGCTTGACTGTTTCTTGCTAGTACACAGTAGTAGTATAACAGGACAGGCCTTGGAACCGAGGGTTGGGCCGACAAATACGACGGATCATCCCGGCCCTACTTATTCACGTCGAGTGCATCAAGAGCCTCCTGTAAGTACGTCTCAAGAAGGGCGGAGAAACGACGGAAATTTTGGCACCCAGGTTCCAGGTCACGGATGGGCGGCTCGCCTGGCAGCCGTTTGCGGATAACAAGCCCGTGGCTGACATAATCTACTAGCTAGGCCCTCGTGTTGAGCTTGTAGTACACTACTCATGGCGGTTGCATCCAGACAGTGTGCAGCATAAACGTCTGGCAACATGGGCTGATGTATGTAGTCGGGTTTAGGGGTGCGAGAGTGGGTAGCAATGGTTTGTGCTAGTTGTGAATGCAATGTGGGTGTTCGGCATGGGCCGGCGGTGCAGAAGCCGTGCGCAGGCACTCAGGGCGATTGGTAGGCTGTGGCATGCCTGGGGGATGGAGGCTGTTTTACTCTAGTTTCCAATGAATGAAGGAACAGAACAGGTTGGACGAGAGAAGGGCAGAACAAGTAAGTAAAGTAATGCCTGGGTGGACGAGGGAGCGAGGACGAGGGGCTTGGGAGCGGCTGATCGGTGCGGGGCAAGCCTAATCAGGCTACGGGTGGCTGACGAGGCCGCGGCCTAGTGCTGGCAGTCCACACGTTGTACTCACGTCACCTTGGAAGCATCAAGAAAAGCACACTGGATTATTCTTCTTGGAGCGGAGCGAAGGGGGCAGAGAGGGGGGAGAGGGGAGAGGGGAGAGAGGGGGAGCCATGTGGCGCTGTACAAGATGCTCAACAATCTGACAAGAAGCATTCACTGCACTCGCCAGCACCACCATCCCCACCACTACTAGCACTACTTACATACTACTGTACTCGCACCACCATCCCCATAGGCCCAGACCCCCCAGCATTCGCCTATTTCAAGCTCCGTCGTGCCCGTGTTAAACCGCGCCTCGCGCCCCTCGCCCAACTCTCTGCCGGCCCCTCGACTGGCGGCTGCACCATCGCTCCGTTGTCTTGTTGCTTGCTTGCTTGCATCGGTGCAGGTGCTACCGGCACAGCAAGTAAGTAAGTAAGTAAGTAGTAGGCGCGCCTTCCCCTCCCCCTCCCCCTCATGCCACTGCCAATGCCAACACCCCTGCTGTACGTACTGCAACCTGCAGTAAGCCCCTCTTGCGCCACTGCATGAGTGTGAGCACGCTCAATTCCTCGCCTGTAACCGCTAACCGTCTTGTTCTCCCAACAGTCGCCCACTACCCCCACCAGAGGCCGCGCCTGGTCTGTCTGGTCCGCCACACGACCACTCCTACCTATATTCACTCCCTTGAATATCCCCTCTCCTCGAGGTCGCCATGGCCACTCACGCGACCATCACCTTTTCGCAGCCGGGCGTCCGTCCCCCTGTCTATGTCACCTCCTCCCTCAGCGGCTGGACCCCGCTTGAGATGGACGTGGCCGACGACACGACCCCTTCGGGCGACCCCATCTTCACAAAGACATTTTCCAATGTAGACCAGGGGAGCTACCAGTACAAGGTCCGTCTTGGTCAAGACCATTGGATCTTGGACGAGTCAAAGCAAACGGGTATGGCTGAAAGCAGGCTCCCCCGGGTGCCCCGCTGACACACAGCAGCTACCGACGACCAAGGCATCCGCAACAATGTTATCCATGTCGAGCCCGTTGCTCCTGAGCCTTCCCAGAGCTCAGCGCCAGACAGTACACTTACACAAGCAACCACATCCAGCGATCCGCCTGCAGCACCCTCTCATGAGCCTGCCTTGAAGCGGCTCGACAGCCGCAAAGACAGCACCATGGACCAGGACCAACTGCCCATCCCCTCAGCTAACCTGGAGCGTGATGTTAAACAAACAGGCGACGTGGATTCGTCGACCGAGCCTGGCGTGCTGGAACCGCCTCATGTGCCCATCGTTGTCGTCGACAAGGTGGACACCGAACCTGCGTCGCCCGAGGACGCTACTGAGGACGCTACCGCTGCCCAACAGACTGCGCATGACACGAAAGCTGCCGACGCATTGCCCGACAAAGTCGGAACTGTACCTCCACACCACGTTGAGCCTGGCACAGGCGATGAGCAAACAGCACCATTATCTCACCATGAATCTTCTCAGGCCGACCCATCGCCCTTGCCGCCCTCCATGGACACGATTGACGAGGAGTCTACGCCTTCATCAGCCGATCACACTAGTTCTGGAGACGCCATGGACACCCCGTCCGAATTGGACGAGGGCGACGAGTTGAACTTGGTACCCTTGCTTAGCCACGAGACTAGTGTAGGCCACGAGAGCAACGGGTTTGCGAATGTACCGTTGTTTGGTCACGAAGCAGAGACTGGAAATCATCATGCCAATCAAGTCCCGCTCTTGTCCCACGAGTCCAATCTACCAGATGACGCCGCTGTTACGACCGACTCTGATGGAGGAGATGAGCTTGACCGATTTCCATTACTGGCGCATGAAGGCAAATCCTCGGCGTACAAGCAAAGCGAGACTGTAGCCAAGAGTGATCATCTCGAAGAAGAAGGATCACATCTTGATAGGCCTCACAGTAATCATAGCGAATCTGGCAGCCACCCTGAGGGAGATGATGGCGACGCGCCTCTCCTGCCTCACGAGCGGGAAGCGGAAACCGCTGATCATGCTGGCTCAGTCTCTTCACAAGACTATGCGCCATTCCCGACGGAAAAGCAGTCCGCTTTTGGCTACGAAACGGAAGGCGCACAAAATCTCTTTGGTGGGCCTGGCCGATATGACTTCTTCAAGACACGGAAAAACAGCAGCCTGCCTCATCGATTGCCTCGATCGGATGCTGAGGACGAAGACTTAAATGATCCGTCGTTAGAGCGCTTTCCCACCAACCGTGATCTAATTTTGCAGCGCGTAGCCTCAATAGGGGCTGAACTCCCCGAAGATGAGGCCACGCACGAGCACCCTTGCTCACCCCAACCGTCAGTCTTCTCGCAAGCATGTTCTTCAGTTGATCTTGTACCAGTTAAATCATATACATCGTTGGCCTCTGTTCCTGAAGCGGATGACAGCGATGAGGAGGATGACGAACAGGACACTCATGACCTTGACAGTTTGCCTTCGCCCATCTACATCGGTAAAAATTACCTTCGTGTATCCAATCCACCATCGGGATTCGCCCGTGACCCCAACGCCACACCCGTCATCAACGCAAGTAAGCAACTGGGAGATATAATGCAGGACAAAGACGAAGACTCAGCAGACCATGCAAAAGAACTGACTGGCGAAGCTAAAAGCATCAACGGACACGACGGTGCTCAGGACGAGTCGAAATCTACCAACACCTTGCGTGATGCCATCTCCATGCCTACCAAGGCCACAACATCTCCGCCCACGTCTGATCTCAATGCTACAACTGAAGCATCCCACCCAGTTTCCAATACAGACTCAGAACTTCGACAGCGCAAAGGTCTTGCCGAAGAGCCCTCGCAGGACACAGACGCATCAGGAACTGCCGCAAAGGATACGACGACTTCCAAAGACAAGGTGGAAAACACGGTACCATCTTTGGCATCTTTACACCAGTCCGAGAAGCACAGTGGCGGCACGCTCAAGCTCTTGTTTGGCGATCGGAAACGAGCCAGGTAAGCCATCATCTTGTTTCTTCTGCACGTGGCTTGTGATGATGTCCCTCCATTCACGCCCCTTTCTCCTTGATGGACCATCATTTTCTATCATGATAGATCTTGCTAACATGACTTCTATTTCTAGTGCATCGGCCCTCGTCATTGGTGGGGCGCTCGCGGCATACTACTACATGTCTGCAAAACCCTAATGACCTCTTTCACTCCCCTTTTGTTTCCCTCTCTCTCTCTCATCACTGTCGTGTTTGATTCTTCTGATGAGCGAATGGCACATTAGACTAGTGCATGATGCATGACGGACGTACAATGAATGACCACGGCTAATGAAATTCATGCTTGGTAATGAAGTCAAGCGCTTTGGCGTACTAGGGCACTTTGCACGTTACTTCTCCTCTCTTGCTCCTTTTGTTGTTCACTATAGGCTTTTTGTTTTAGCCAGGATCCCGCAAAGAGCTTTTGTCAGATTCACAGCTACGTAATGATTGGAAATGATAACAATTGGCAACACAGTCTCTCTCTCCGAGGCAAAGATTCTCATCATATGCATATCTCATTTCATAAAAAGGCGTAAATGCTATCTGCCTGTTCCTAAAGCAACGCTATCTAGGTATCGAAGAATCTCCCATGGTCCTTTTGTGAAAAAGAAATTGCCGGAAAGACTCAAGTCTATGGAGGAATCGTCAGCGAGTGGACAAACTAAGCAGCCCAGAATGTGCCCATTTTTTTGGTATGTTTAACCCACAAGGAAAGCAAGTGTACAAGGAACAAACGTTACAGGCGCAGCCTCGTTTGCCGTTTCTTCTCTTCGTCTCTTCATCCTCTTTCTCTTTCTGCTGCTTTATTTTCTTTTCTTTATTTCTTACAAACGAGGTCTGCTTGCCCCGCTCGATGGTGTACTCACCGACTTGTTCTTGATATCATAGCGGTCGTTGTTCATAACCTTCTCCCATCCAGCAACAAAGTCCTTGACAAACTTGTTCGCGTTGTCCGATGATGCGTACGTCTCGGCAATGGCACGGAGCTCAGGGTGGTGACCAAAGACGAGGTCGTGACGTGTGCCCGTCCACTTCTTCTGACCAGACTTGCGGTCGAAACCCTCGTATAGCTCCTTGCTGGCGTCGGTTGCCTTCCATTCAAGGTTGTTGTCGAGCAAGTTGACGAAGAAGTCATTGGTGAGCTGGCCGGGGCGCTGGGTGAAGATTCCGTGAGAGGAGCCGTCCCAGTTGGCATTCAGCGCACGCATACCACCAGTGAGGACAACCATCTCGGGGGCAGTAAGCCGGAGGAGGTGGGCCTTGTCAACATCGAGCTGCTCGGTGCGGACACGCTCGGTGCCCTTTCCGTAATTGCGGAAACCATCTGTGACGGGCTCAAGGTGCTCGAAAGACTGCACATCAGTCTGCTCCTGGGAAGCGTCGGAGCGGCCCGGCGCAAAGGGAACAGGCACACCGGCAGCCTTCTCAACTGCGGCGGTACCAGCAAGGACAATCAAGTCGGCCAGAGAGACCTTCTTGCTACTGCCACTGTTGAACTTAGACTGAATGCCCTCAAGAGCCTTGAGAACCTCAGCCAACTCCTTAGGGTTGTTTACCTCCCAATCCTTTTGGGGAGCGAGGCGGATGCGAGCACCGTTGGCGCCACCACGCTTGTCGCTACCGCGGAAAGAAGCTGCGGAAGCCCAAGCAGTGCGGATAAGCTTGGCAGGCTCAATGCCAGCGTCGAGAACCTGCTTCTTCAAAGTTTGGATGTCAGACTCGCCAATGATCTCACCCTCGGGCTCAGGGACAGGGTCCTCCCAGAGGAGAATTTCCTTGGGAATCTCTGGGCCGATCCATCTGGAGCGGGGACCCATGTCACGGTGAAGAAGCTTGAACCAGGCACGAGTAAAAGCGTCATGCAGTTCCTCAGGGTGGTCTAGCCAGCGGCGGGTGATCTTCTCGTAGGCAGGGTCCATGCGCATCGATAAGTCAGTGGTAAGCATCCTGGGCTTGTGCTTTTTGTTAGGGTCGTAAGCGTCTGGAATGATCTCCTCATCTGTCTTAGCAACCCACTGGTTGGCACCAGCAGGGCTCTTCTCCAGCTCCCATTCAAACTTGTAAAGGTACTCCAGGTACTTGTTGCTCCACTTGACGGGTGTGCTAGTCCATGTGACCTCGAGACCACTGGTGATGGTATCTGGACCGTTGCCACGGCCGTGCTTGTTCATCCAACCGAGACCTTGGGTTCCAAGGTCTTCCGAGTTGGGGTCTGGGCCAGTGTTTTCGCTGGGGGCAGCGCCGTGTGTCTTTCCGAATGTGTGGCCACCAACGATGAGAGCAGCGGTTTCCTCGTCGTTCATAGCCATACGGCCAAAGGTTGTGCGAATGTCGTGGGCAGCGGCAACGGGGTCGGGTACGCCCTCGGGACCTAGACAAGTCAGTAACGAGTAGAGATGTGTGTATTCTAAAAGGAAACTTACCCTCTGGGTTCACATAGATGAGACCCATGTGTGCGGCAGCCAGTGGCTGCTCAAGGTTTCTCGATGTGTGGGTATCCTTGGCGTCGTTCTTGTGCTGGTCACCGTCCATGATACCCTCGCCCTTGATACCCTTTGCGCCGTCGGCATAGCGGACGTCGCTGCCGAGCCACTCGGTCTCGCCGCCCCAGTAGACAGACTCGTCCGACTGGAAGGTGTCTGAGCGGCCACCGGCGAAACCAAAGGTTGGGCATCCCATGGACTCAATGGCAACGTTTCCGACGAGAAGCAGGAGATCGGCCCATGAGATCTTGTTTCCGTACTTCTGTTTGATGGGCCAGAGTAGGCGACGGGCCTTGTCGAGGGAAACGTTGTCGGGCCAGGCGTTGAGGGGAGCAAAGCGCTGCTGTCCATCACCGCCGCCACCACGACCGTCAGTGACACGGTATGTTCCAGCAGCGTGCCATGCCAAACGGACGCTATTTGCAGGGTTAGATAACAAGACAGAGGCGCAAGGGCAAAGGGCTAAACGTACAAAAAGCCTCCATAGTGACCAAAGTCGGCAGGCCACCAGTCCTGGGAGTCGGTCATCAAGGCAGTGAGGTCCTTCTTCAAGGCATCGTAGTCGAGCTTCTTGAACTCTTCAGCGTAGTTGAAGTCAGGACCAAGAGGGTTCTGTCTGGGGTCATGTTGGCGCAGGATGTTTACCCTGAGCTCGTTTGGCCACCAGTCCGAGTTTCTTGTGCCAGAGCCGGCGACGTTGGGCACCTTCTTGACAGGACACTCGCCTTTGGACATGATGAATGATTGGGTTGTGTGCTGTGAGAGTGGATGGTTCAAACACAGGCTGTAGAGCGCTGTAATGGGAGCGACGTCTAGGTATATAAGCCCCGAGTAGCGGGGCATTCATAAGCACCTGTTCTGGCCACTGGTCGCTGCTCCCCTCCATCCCCTCTCCCTCCAAGTCGCCAGTGGGTCCGCGTATGATAGCTCGATTTTGCCTAGCATGACGGCCAGCCACCCCACTACACGATTCCCTGTGTCCCCAGTGGCCAACAACAGATGACTGACGACATGTATGCCGGCAGCCTATGTATGTATTTTGTCTGCGATTACTTTTTTCTTCTTCCATTAGGCTCGTTGCACTCTTCAGAGTTAACGTGCCCGCACTCTGCTTAGCCTACGCAGTCAATTGCACGAGATTGTCAGGTGAGAGGCGTGTGGACTGGAAGACCCCGCTTTCACGACCGGAACCGGTTCCGCATCACGATCATGGGCGCATATGAAATTCGACCCGTTTGATTGGCCAACGCGAAATCACGTGATGGATATGCGCACCGAGGCACGCAAGACTCTGGTGGCGGAAAAAGACGGCTCCATGTGCTGCACAGTCCAGACACCTACTTTGAGTAAGCATAATCACTCCAGATCTGCACACATCATCTGCTGTCCTACACTAGGCTGTATCTCGCAATTGCCACGCCTGCACACGTATGTCCAAGCATGCTTGCACCCACCAGACAATGCTAGATGCTTCGACGCCATTTACTAGCTGCCACGACTCCATGCCCCAACATGTCTCAACCATCTGGTCGCCTAATACTGGATGTGTGAAGCTATTCAAATGTCTCTCTGCCCTACACTACTTGCTTCAGGCGAAGAAAATAACATTTAGCCAGCGACTGGGAAATCATGTGCGCCAGCTTGACGACCGGTGGCCAGTCTTCTACTCCAGACATACTGTACTACTTTTTACTCACTATGAATCTTCTCTCTTCCGTATGCCATTCCAGCAATTCCGTGCCCCCGCCCTTTCCCTTTCTACTACACGACACTAAACGTGTGACAAGAAAACAGCCGTTTCCTCCATCTAGGACATGCTTGCAACACTGTCAGCTTACATAGTGTTTGAGTGCCATGCCAACCCCACATACTTACATTGCCCCGCATCGCCTCTCAGCAAGGGCCCTCGACATGGGGAAGCTAGGCGCCCGCAGAATTGCCGCTCCCAAATTGTACAGGTCGATTCTGCGAGACAAGCCGCCTGCTTTAAAGCAGTCTATACATATCAGTCATCAGTGGCCTCGCACTCTTGACTCGAATGGTTCATCTGCGTTTCACCGGCTTGTTTGCACTAATAGGCCCGTTTCCACTTCGTCCGGCAGATGTTGGAGAAATCATAGGGCTCCCTTCTTGAAGAGGGGTAAAGATATACCGAGGTGTTCAAATATATAGTACAACTGCTATCTATGTACATACTATTCTGCTTCCTACTTTCCAGTCACTTCATCGGTCTTCTTCTTCTGCGATAAACCCAGTCGTTTAACCAGTTTTACCGACTATCCCAGATTCCACTCAACATGGCACAAGACAAAGCCCAAACGTTTGAGATTCCAAAGACTTGCAAAGCAGGCGTCGTGGTCAACGAAGGCCCGGACTTTTATGTAGAAGTACAGGATGTTCCAGTCCCAGAGATTGGTAGGTTTTCAAAAGTGTACTTTGCATTCTGGGCACCTATGCTCACACGATCCAATAGGACCTACCGATGTTCTCATTAAGCTCAATGTTACCGGCATCTGCCATTCAGACATCCATATCATGGCTAACGATTGGAATATGCCCAAAATGTCAGACTTGGGTACTAAATGCTCTGGACACGAAGGCGCAGGCGTCATTGTAAAGGTTGGGGATCAGGTCAAGAATTTGAAGCCTGGTATGCGAGCTGGCTACAAGGTGAGCAGACCCAGGTGTCACAGCAACCGAATTCATCTACATAATCGTCATTTCTGACATGTCACAGCCAGTCCAAGACACTTGCGGTGTATGTGAGCTCTGCCGCAACGGCAATGAGTGCTACTGTCCAAAGGCTGTCATGACCGGCTTAATGGTCGATGGGTCATACAAACAGTACATAGTCTCGCCCGAGAGATACACAACCCTGATCCCAGACGGAGTGAACGACTACATAGCAGGGCCTATTATGTGTGCAGCTTCGACAATATACACCTCCATTAAAGAATCCCAACTGCGGCCAGGAGACTGTGCAGTTTTCCCCGGCGCCGGCGGGGGTGTCGGGTTACAGGGTTTGCAACTAGCCAAGGCCATGGGTCTGCGAACTGTAGCCATTGACACTGGAGAGGACAAGAAGAAGCTGTGCTTGGAAGTTGGCGGCGCAGAACATTTCATCGATTTCAGAAAGGTGGAAAACGTTGCCGACGAAGTAGTGCGGCTCTGCGACGGCATCGGCGCACATGGCGTCTTTGTTACTGCTGTCCAAAGCTATCCCTCTTCGATATCGTACCTTGGTAACCGTGTTGGTGGCAAGGTGATGTGCATCGGGCTCCCACCGGCTGGCACTCATCACGTCGACGTCGACCCGACCCATATGTGCATGAAGAAGCAGACCATAACAGGCACAATTGTAAGCAGCATGGCAGATGTGGACAAGACACTCGAGTTTGCCAGCCGAGGGCTACTTAAACCCATCTATACAGTATATCCCTTGAGCCAGTTTAACGAAGCAGTACAAAAGCTAAAACGTGGCGAGATTGCCGGAAGGGCAGTTGTAGACTTTAACCAGGAGTAATTGATAGATGATTTAGATGTACAATAGAAAGGGCCTGAGTAATCTCAGTCCAAGTGAATGAATTCCCAGCAAGACTGAGCCTACAATTATCTTTATGTCTTGTCATGAAATGGCTGTCAAGGATGATGCGCTGCTTCATACATACTTACCATGATTCTGAGCTATGGTGCACAGATCACTCCTGATTCACTGCACCTGTCCCATCACGACTCAGCCCTACGTCGCAAATACCACGATTACTGTACCGTACATCTCTCTACATAACGATTGCTTGAGCGATGCGCCCTGGCCTTCAAACAAGCATATGTCGAGGGCATGTCCAGCTCTTCGCACAGTCGGTCCCCAATCGGACACGTCAACACCTCGTCGAGCCGCGCATCCAACGGGAAGCAGCCAGCCGTTGAAGACGACCGCAGCGACGAGGAGGCACTGTTGGCGGACGATCCACTAGATCCCGATTTACCTGAGCAGTACGCACCTCTGCCAATATCCCCCCGCTCACGATACTGAATTGCCTCGCCCAGACTATCATTCAAACGCAAGCCAAAAGCATCTGCTTCTTCCTTCGGCTTCTCACGCTATTTCCCCTCGCCGCTTACGCCCTCCAGTAGTCACGCATCGCCCTCGCCACGATCTCATCGTACAACTCCTTCAAACGGACTTGACTTGAACTATCTCGAAACACCAGGCAGCGCTGGTGAACACACCCAAGACGCCAAAGATGCAAGCGGGTTAGATTGGCACGTTGAGGGGCCGGGCCGAAGGGTGGGCTACGACGATCTTACCGCCATCGACTGGATCTTTGAATATGCAAAGGAACGCCAGCGATTGAGGTACCTTTACACAGGCACCAGCGGCATCCTGGGGCATGTGAAGCAGCTTGCAGATGCAAGTCAGGTCTGGATCATCTTGGTCGCCGCAGGCATACTAAGCGGAGGCATCGCCGCTTTCATTGACATTGCGAGCGATTGGCTTGCGGATCTCAAGACGGGATATTGCCGCAATGTGGATGGAGACGGAAGATTCTATCTGAACAAGAGCTTCTGTTGCTGGGGAATCAACGAAGCACAGGCCTGTCACGATTGGGCTTCTTGGGGCTCGGCTATGGGCATTGGGAGTGCTGGTGGAAGATATGTTGTCGATTATGTCTTGTTTATTCTCTACTCGGTGAGTGTCCAATGATGGATTGTTTAGAAGAACGAGAACACTAATAGCCACTAGGTGCTGTTCGCAGCATGCGCCAGCTTTCTAGTTCGGGAATTTTCTCCTTATGCCAAACATAGCGGTATACCGGAAATCAAAACTGTTCTCGGTGGGTTCGTTATCCGACATTTCCTAGGCGGCTGGACGCTAGTCACAAAGACAATTGGTTTGGTAAGTAGCCTCGCAAGAAACAATTTGTGGATCGCTAGCTAACTTGGCCAGTGTCTTGCAGTCGCATCAGGCCTGTGGCTGGGCAAGGAAGGTCCCTTAGTACACGTAGCGTGCTGCTCGGCGAACCTCTTCATGAAGCTGTTTAGTAGCGTAAATGGCAATGAAGGTCAGTATTTTACGCTCGTTATTTATTACAACCCATTAATTTGAGTAGCACGGAAACGAGAGGTACTCTCGGCTGCGGCTGCAGCAGGCATTTCAGTCGCCTTTGGTGCACCTATAGGCGGTGTACTCTTCAGCCTTGAGCAGCTGTCGTACTACTTTCCAGACAAGACCATGTGGAGCAGTTTCGTATGCGCTATGGTAGCAGCCGTCACCCTACAAGCATGCAACCCCTTCCGCACCGGCAAGCTTGTCTTGTATCAGGTCACTTATCACAGTGGATGGCACGACTTTGAGCTCTTGCCCTTTATCTTTCTTGGGATCTTAGGTGGTCTTTTTGGAGGCTTGTTCATCAAGCTTAACATGGGCGTTGCCGAGTGGCGAAAGAACAGACAATACCTCAAAGGCCCCGTGAGGGAAGTTGTCATTGTGGCATTCGTGACGGCCCTGATCAACTTTCCCATTAAGTTCATGCGCGCCCAAGCTTCCGAACTAGTGCATATTCTTTTCGCTGAATGCGCTGATCTCACCGAAGATACGCTGGGCCTCTGCAAATCTGGCAAAGCGAACACCGGAGTAATTGCTTTGTTACTGGTGTCTTCGGGACTGGGCATCATACTAGCAGGCCTCACATTCGGTCTGCAGATCCCAGCGGGTATTATCCTTCCTTCCATGGCCATTGGCGGTCTCTTTGGTCGTGCAGTGGGACTATCTGTGCAAGTAGTCCAGGCTGCTTGGCCGTCGCTCTTCGTCTTCAGCTCCTGCGAACCTGATGTACCTTGCGTGACCCCAGGAACGTACGCTATTATTGGAGCAGCATCGGCGCTTGCAGGCACCACACGCATGACGGTTTCGATTGTGGTCATTATGTTTGAGCTAACTGGGGCTCTCACGTATGTTCTACCCATTATGATTGCAGTCATGATCAGTAAATGGACTGGTGATGCCATCTCCCCACGGGGCATCTATGAGTCCTGGATACACTTCAAAGGGTACCCTTTCCTCGACAACCGCGACGACAACGGTAGCTCGATTCCAGATGTCAGCGCAAGCCATGTTATGACACGCATCGAAGACCTGACGGCCATAACGGCAACTGGACACACTGTTGGGTCGCTGCGTGAGCTTTTGTCTCAACATCGGTTCCGTGGGTTTCCCGTGATTGACAACAGCCGTGATGCCCTCTTGCTGGGGTACATATCAAGAACTGAACTACAATACGCGCTTCAGACTGCCCTGACGCCTCCTCGGAACCTAGCGCCTGAAACGGAAGCGTACTTTGCCCACCAACCCCTCTCTGACCCCACGACTTCCCTCGATCTCCGGCCGTGGATGGACCAAACGCCTATGACACTAAATGCTAAAGCTAGCTTTCAGCTTACGGTATCCATGTTCCAGAAGCTCGGGTTGCGATATGTCTTGTTCACGGATCGAGGCATACTCAAGGGGTTGCTTACCAAGAAGGATGTTTGGTACGTCATGGAAGGCATGGAGGACGAGCGTGAAGACGATGGTAGAGGGGGGCTCGGAGAGGGGAGACAAGAGGATGAAGAGGATGAGCAGAGTGACCTACTGGGCACGGCGGAGGAGGAGCACGCAGGCTTGATTGGTGCCCATGGTAGATAGGAAGCCGAAACTGAGACTTGACACCGTGTCTAGCACCTTCTATGCCAGTGGGCTTGAAGAAAAAAGGTCTCGATCTCTGTTGGATCGTCATGTGATGATATCACCGCATGTCGCGCATGCGGTGTAGGCCACGCCGGCGGGGGATTGCTCGTTTGGCAGGTCGGCCGTTGATCAGGGCCACGGGGAGGGCTTCCCGCCAGGAACACAAGGCAAATCAACAAGCGAAGCTCTCACCGACAGTGACGCTACGACCAAAGCATACTGTCGGCCTCGGACTTGGTGCGACGTGTCGTCCGGCTCTTGAGGAGTGCAGAGAGTGGAGTGGATACAATGCAGTGCCAGCTGCATGGCATGGTCTGTGCAGCGCAAGACTCGGCCAGCCAATCACAGACGAGGTTGTGGGTGTGGCTGTAAATGGCTTAGCGTTAGGCGATGCCGCGGCTTGCTGCTTGGACCTGCATCCACCCGCCCTTAACATCCGGCCTCGCCCATTCAGACTCCAGAGCCTTCTCTCCCCGCCGCCCCGTCTGTGACTCGGCCTTTGTTTGTCCCAGTACCCCCGATCCCCTTACACTCGTTTCACCGTCAAAGAACAAAAATCGACACCCGCCATGGATGCCTTGATCGTCTAACGTCAAAGAAGCACGGAGCGGCTATGACTAGGCCTTGGCATACGTCGCGATCCGGCAGACGACGTGAATCGCGCTGAAAGAACACCAACGCTTGCACGCGATAGCGGCGCCTCGCCAATCATATTTGCCAGATCTACACCATAATAACTCTTCCCACCACGCCCACACCATGGCCCACGCGACCGACCTGGAGCGCAGGAGCAGAAGGAAGCATTCGCATTCGTCATCCAGGGCTTCGAGGACGCGCTCCTCGTCCAAGAAGCCTCATGTTTCGCCTCCTGTGCCAGACATGTATCCGCACGACCATGCACCACCGGTCCAGGCTACCCCTCACAGCCAGCCCCAGTATATACCACATCAGCGCTCCTATTCCCAATCTACTGTCACATCACCGCCATTATACCACAGCTACTCTGCGAGCCCGCCTGAGCGCTCAGATTACGGACAGATGCCCGGAGCTTATCCTCAAGATGTACCGCGTTATTGGTCTCCTCCACCACAGCCTGTTCAGCCTTATGCCAGCCAATCCACTATCCGCTTTGCTTCCCCACCACCTCCTGAGTCTCGCGGCCAGGGTCCTTTCCAGCAGCAATGGGATAGTCTTGACCGCATGGCTACGAGGTCTTTTACCAATCTGCGTGACACGGCTGGAAAGGGAATGAACAAGCTGACTACCAACTGCATCGAGCGGCCTACAGCTGCTGTCGCGACCAAGAGCATGCAGACTTTGTGCCGTGGGGCAGCGTTATACGACGTCATTACCTCAAAGTTCGACTCTGTTATTACTAGTATCGATGACGAACAGTTCAGCGGTAAAGAGCAAGATTTGATGATGGAGTTTGGTGACCAGATGGACTACGAGGAGCCCGTGAAAACGAGCCCGCCGCTTGGCGGAGGTAGACGTCATGGTCGGGAAGAGGTTTCTCCCAAGCCTGGTAGTGACAAAGGATCAAACCATTTCTCAAAAGTATGGCTTTACTCCAACTCACGCCTGCCACCGCATTTACCCCCTTTTAAAGTGTATCTCCCGACGTATCCCTTGTTGTGCTTGGCGGCAACGTACTCTGAAAAGGCGTACCTACCTCCCGGTACCAAGAAGAGCTCTGAAATGGAGACACACATCCCTGCCGACTGGCGTAGCGGCACCAAAGCCATGGTCCTAAAGTCTATACCCGTTGAAGAGCTGAACACGATCGTGTTTGCTATTCGCGGAAGTCAGACATTCATGGACTGGGCTGTCAACTACAACTCTGCGCCAAGCAGTCCGGCCAAGTTTCTCGATGACCCGGGAAACTTATGTCACGCGGGCTTCCTCTATGTCGCAAAAAAGATGATCAAGCCAGTCGCAGAGCGGCTCAAGGTCTTGCTACAAGAGAATCCTGCGCGCTCTAATTGTAGTCTGCTCATTACCGGCCACTCCGCAGGCGGAGCGGTCGCCGCGTTGCTATACGCGCACATGATGAGCACCAAGGTTGAGTCTGAACTCAGCTACCTCACTAGCTTCTTCAAGCGGGTGCACTGCATCACTTTTGGTGCGCCGCCAGTCAGTCTGCGGCCGCTCAAGAAGCCCGAAGACAAGCGGCACCGAAAGAGTCTTTTCTACAGCTTCATCAACGAAGGTGACCCTATACCGAGAGCTGACAAGAGCGTGCTCCGAAGCCTGCTCAAGCTGTACGCCAGTCCTGCACCCACCACGGCCTCGAGCTCTGGCTCTGCAACGGCGTCGTCGTCCAGAACCAATGTCTCGCGCTCACATTCTTCATCCCCGCCAAAATCCAGATCCAAACATGGCTTTGCTGCACGACTCTCACGAGGATCAAAAATCTCGTTGGAAACAAACAATACCCAATCGTCTTCGTCTTCTTCACTGCCCGCTTGGCCAATCCCGCCCTGCACCCTGTCGCCTGCGGGCCGACTCGTCGTATTGCGGCAGAGAGTAGGGACCAGGAGCGAGGACGACGTCGAAGCCGTGACAGTGGACGATGAGATGCTGAGGAAAGTTGTGTATGGAGATTTGCTCAAGCACCAGATGACGACTTACAAGAAGCGCATCGAGGGTGTTGCTGTTCGCGCCGTTACCGCAAACGGTGTTTGATGAGACTGCCAAAAACTTTTCTTGACGAATTTGTATGCCTCACGAATTACATGATTACGAATCTCTTTAGAAAAGAAAATGAAAAATATGTCCGAGTCTACTCGTCTCAAATCTGCTTTTGAACAGGATACGTGATCAGAGTCATAAGTGTTGTGTCCAATTCTCCTCGTAGGCAACATGCAAATTGACCATTATCCTTATGCAACAATGATATCCCCAAACAAAGAGGTTTTTTTCGTAACAATAATTCATCTCATGCAGATATATTCGTCAACGAAAAAACCAACAGTGGTATACTCAATCTATATGCCTAGCCTGGAAAAAGTCGCCTCCCCTGCAGCATCTACGCCATGATCAAATCATACGCCGCCTTGGTACTCATAAGCACCAGAACATAATGCGCTATAATACCCGCAGCACCATAATACCTGCCCGTACCCCCTCGCTCCGCACTCCTCGTATACCCGACCGAATAAAAAATACGATTAACACTCCACGCGGCGCCGAGCGCCGCCGTCGCCAGTGGGAATCTCAGCCCCGAAATGAGCATAGCGCAGAGAGCGGTAGGGTGGTTCTCGCCGAAGTTTTGGTGAGCGCGCTGAGCGGCGTTGAAGGCGAGCATGGCGGATTTGGAGGCGGGAGCTGCGGTTTGGATTTGTTCGTACGACGCGTATTCGAAGGGGTACGGGATCTTGGCTGCTTTGCGGAAGGAGCCTACGCGCCCGCCGAGCCAGATGCCGATGAAGAAGGTGGAGACGGCGGCGCCAACGACATAGCTAAAGAGCGAGGGTTAGCTATGGGAGAGGCGAGGGTTGATGTGCTTGTTGTTGTGTGGGAGTTGGGGAAAAAAGAGGGTTAATTGAATGATGGATACATACCTGTACTCGTCTGGAACCTGGATAATGGCCATGATGTCCGTTATTGTTGTTGTTGTCGTATCTCTTCACGTTCGTCTATTCGCTGCGTAGTCGAGTCGCCCTTTCCAAATCTTGTAAGGAGAAAAAAAGTTGTGGACAATCAATGTTAAGTAGCCAATTCGGCCCTTCTTATACGTCTCTTTTAATTGTTTTTTTTTTGAGGCGCTGGATCGATGTAGAAATCGGTGGAATGTTGTGGCTTCGAAAGGGAAGGGGGGTGGGAAAGCTACCGCCTGTTCAGGAGTCATTACGCGGACCAGTTTCAGCGGGGCTGCGGGTGCTGGTTTCCCCCGACTCAATGCTAAACAGCAAGGCTCCAGCATGCGTTCGGTGCAACATTCTTGCCGATTGCTACGGTACAGCTATGCTCCAGAAAAATATTGTAGTTCAGTGGTCTGCATTGTTGGGATTACACGTTGTTCACAGCGTCGTGTGCTATGTGGCTAGACGGGTAGGGTGTGTACGCCGTGCCCGTCGGACAGAAAGTGTTCCCATTGCGAATTCAGGCGGCCAAGCAGAGTCGAGGGTTGCAAGGTTTTGTGTCACCAAGTAATTTTCTTACATCATGCAACCGCCTTGTTGTAAGGAAACGATCTGTTCAGGGTGTTCAAAGATGTCTCGTAGGAGAAAGTGGTCGATGCAGGTGAATAGTTGGTGACTTTTAGTAGAAAAAACGAACAAGAAAAATGGCGACGTTTGGGATTAAATTGAGTTCACAGACAAGACTGGGCATTGACTACGAGCGGATATCGTGATTCCTCGGCTCTATGACGAAAGCTTTGCTGACCGGATTCGAACATGGGATCAATAACGTAGTGAAATTAGAACGGACAAATCCGGACTTGTTCTCTTTGGTGTATCATAGATATATTCATTCAAAGCAGGCTAATATTCTACTCTGCTTGATCAAATAAGCTTATGCTCTTCTCGGGCAGCATGCGGAGCTGTCGTGTAGTATGATCTATGTTTCAAGCTTTCACGACAGATGACCCCATCTTCTCATCCTTTACTACCTGTGATTCCCGACTCTTCTAGTGCCTCCATAGTACCTTGGAAATTCTGTCACTCGTCAGCCTCTATTCCATCTGGGATACTGCTTACCTCAGAAAGTGTACTTACGGGTAGTGCTGCAAGCAAGCATATTAAATTCCCTATAACAAAGATGGCCCATGAAGCAGACGCCTGAACAACTAGTAGTTTCATATACTTCCACGACGTCTCCCTCCAAATTCGAGTGTACATGTGAATAACCGCGATTGGTAAGGCGAGGATCGTCTGTGCAATGTATCGACACGTGAAAAGAAGCTTCAAGAAGCCAGGGCTGTAATTGGTATCTTGGGCCCGACGCTTGGACGACTTAACGTGTAACTGGAAGCCTCGAATGATACATAGAAGAATGATGGCAGCTGCAATGTTGAGAGTGTGGTAGCGAGGTACAGCAGAGCATTCAATCCCCCTGTCGAGCAAGCGGCTACATCGTCACTTCATATTCTTATTCGTCATGGAAATAGACGCTATCCATCGCGCTATCTGTACGATACCCTGCGAAGTTATGTACTGCACGAAGATGAAGAGTGTAGAGTGGAATATAGCTTTATTAGCGACAGTCAAAGGGGAATCATGGGTGTTGCAGACGAGTTTTCCCAGGAATTTGGCTGCTGGATTCCCGGCTATGCTATCGACAATTTGGTAATGGAATGTCTGGCAGGTTCGTCGGCCGACCCAGAAGCGGAACGTGTCGTAGAATGTGGAGCAAACGGCAATAAGGAGTAGGGAGAGAAGGGTATTGTTGATGATTGTGGTAAACTGCAGTATGGTGTATAAGGCAGGCTCTGTGACAAGGTTGGTTAATTGCAAACTGCGAGGCAAAGCGTATAGATGTACTTTCTTGCCATAGATCACTCCACACCGATCGCGTGGGAGAATTTTCTCGAGCCATGTCGATTGAAAACAATGGGAAGGAACAGGGTGGATAGAGATCGTGGAGAATGCAGGGTTGGGCAAGTCGATGATTTTTATGTTCGTTTGGGAAAGTGAGGCAGAGGCCAATTACCCTCAGGCAACTATATGCCTTCTCTTCTTTACACGCAATCACGGCAAGTACGTCATTGATTACGGACTCAGTCCTAACTCCTTTCACTTTCACCAGTCTATTCTCGCTCGTACATGCAAAAGTGAAACCTGACACCCTGCTCCTCAATCGCACCCTCCTCAAGATTCTCCCCCGTAAACTCTTGAATCTCACCCCTGTTGGCATTCCTCCATATTGTTGCCTCGTCCAAATTAACATGAAAAAAAGTATCGCACACGAACTCCTTCTCGATCTTAGTAAGCAATACACGCTTCGTCTGCGGAAGTTCAAGCGCCGTTCGGTATATGCTAGCCCCACCAATAATAAAGATTCTATCAATCTCGAGGTCCGCAGATGGTAAATTGCTCTTGTCCTCGCGCTCAAGCTGAGCAATGGCGTCAAGGATACCAGAGCACACAAGTGGGCCTTCGACTTCTGTCTTCTTGTCTAGCTTGTTTGCAAATGCTTCTGGCTTCGAGGTGATGACTATGTTGAGGCGATCCTTGAGAGGCCGGAATTTGGGCGGTATGCTTTCCCATGTCTTGCGACCCATGAGTACAGCATTTACTTTCCTGCGCCCTTCCGCTGGGACAGAAGGCGATGTACGCTTCGTCACTCGTGCGAAGAAGCCCATTTCCTTTTTGAGCTGTGGCCATGGCAAGACCCCATCCTTTCCTATGCCGAGGCTCGGCGTGGCAGCAAGTATCAAAGTGAGTGTTGGGGGTTTAGGTGGCATGGAAGATGATGCGTCTTGTTCCTGGATGGCTGAATTTTTCTTTGGTGTAGTCGATGTATCCAGATTGGTGGTAGGATGCTTGTTAGACATTGCGTGGCGTCTTCTAGAACCAAGACGACTCTAGAATATCAGAGACAATTGAACGTAGCGTCGAGACGAATAATAAGCGGAAGACATGGATGTGGGTCGTCATATCGACGTGAAAGGTATGCGGGGCCAAACGCGCTAAGTGACGCGAAGGAACGTGACTTTCAACGTCAGTCCTACCTGCCAAACATACTGACTAGACATACCTAGCCATGCTCACAGAAACAGAACCATAGAAGAACATGAAGTGACTTCGATGACGAGTTGGCATTCCCGAACGAAGACTACGAGATATAAAATACACAGGCCGGATGATGCCCTTGATCATGCACAGAAAACCCAAACACCCAAATGCACGGTGATAGGCCCGACACACAGCGCTGCATCATCCCATCATGCCACAGTCCCAACCCGTCTCGCTCGCCGGGGAGGGCGACGATACTGAACGCCTAGATAATTACACCTTTCGCAATGCCGCTACCCTATTGAAACACATTTGCAAGAAGAAGCCAAAAAATCTCGTACGCACCCATTTCATACAACGTCATCTGTGTCTCCTCGAGTTTCCAAATGGGTATCTTTTTAGGATTGTTTAAAGCGCATCGCGCTGCAGAAATGAGAAGTCTTTCCTTCTCCCTTGCAGCTCATCTTCGTCTAAGAGCGGGGGCGTGCGATACTATTCGCCCGCGCCTCCCTCACCACTACTTTTTAGTGGAATGGACAACGAGATCTTCTTTGGTGTTCCACCACCATCCTTTCCAGCATTGACATTGGGCGACTTCCTGCGCAAGTTCCGCAGGCTTCCTGAGCTTGCGTTGCTGGACGTCGAAGCACGGCGCTTTGGACCTGCAGATGTGGAGATGCTTGCAAGAAGCTCATCCTCCTCATCCTCCTCTCTACGGCGCTTTTCGGATATACGCTCCGGCGGCGACCCTGCAGAAGCAGAGTTTGGTGATGGAGTTGTTTCTGGCGTTTGCGTCTCTGCTGAAATCTTGTGCACAGAGGCTGGCAGCCCGGTAGCGAGATCATCCATGTCGGCATCGTCTGCGTCGTCATCCGGGTAGTTAACGAGGGGGCGTACCGGCGATGCTCCGTTGAGAGCGAGTTTGCCAGTGGTGGCAAGTTGTTCATCCTCATCGTCCGATGTGTTGAAGTATGCCTCCTCATCCGCATCTACGTCCTTCAAGCCTTGACCCCACTTGCCGCCATTGACATTTGCGGAGTGTCGCGCAGGTGTGTCACTATCCACACTTGTAAACGAATTGTCGAGCTCCTGAGTAGTAACTGGCTCATGGTTTTGGTCGTATTTGAGGATCAGATTTTGGAATGTGTCGACATAGGTCACAGCTTGTAATTTCTCCCTGTATGTCTCAACCAGATGCTGAACAATCATTTTGATATTCTCGCGCCTGATGAATTCAAATAGCTCCAGGCATGCCGAGTTGAGGAGATTGTCGCGAGGCATCGTATCGAATAAGATCTGCAAGATGGGCTCGAAAAGGTGGTGTTGGATGATTTGGCGGTTGTGTGTCTCATCGTGGAAACCGAGGACAGTACGGAAGTACTTGAGCGCAGCTGGGACAAGTCAGTAAACGAGACAGCAATATTGTGGAAGATGCTTACTGAGTTTCAAATGCTTCTCCGGACAGGCCATGAGTTGGGCTACCCGCATCGCGAGGCCTTCGGATAGAATGAAGTATTTGCTGCGGAAAGAATGTTGACGGATGAAGAAACATAGAACCTCGACAAGGTGGGCGTATAATGACACTTCTTGCATCGATAGATCTTCCACTGAACAATGTTAGCCGCCGTCGCTTATAAGGGCCAGGAACTCAACTTACTCGACTCGCGGCCTTCGAGATCTTTGAGAGGTTGGAAGAGCTTCCGTGCAGACTCGTCGTAAAAGTTTTGAATAAAAGAGTCAGTCTGCGGTATGGATGGAAGTTGACCCCTCATCTTAGCAAGGAAGTCACTGTTAGTTCGCCCAAGCGCTTCTATCGACGCCGAGTTGGCATTGGGGTCTAGCAGAATCTTGATCGCATCTGCCATCTGCGCCTTGACCCCCAAGTCTACCTCAATCAGGAGTAACTCGATTAGAGTGTCGGTAAGTGGTTTAGTCTTTTCCTGAATGGCCTTGAAAATGTAGCTGCGCACCATGAGAGCATCGTGGTCGATCAAAGACACAAGTATGTCTGTTCCTGCTACTCGGACCGAAGCATCTTGGTGTTTGAGCGCAAACTGTATGACTTCCAGCAGGCCGCCACTGATGAAGTTTTGATAGAGCTGCGCCCTGACGTTTGCCTGCAGGCTCTTTGCTATGGCGCAACACTGCTGGATGAACAAGACTGCGTCCTTTTTTCTCGAGAGATTCTGCTCCTTGGGCGAGAAGATGCCAAAAAGCTCTTTCAAAAAGGGGCCGTTTGCTTGAAGGTGCTGGACAATGTCGACTTGGTGGAAGAAGATGAGGGAATTGAGGACGCTAAAGGTGGGGTCGTCGAGGATGCGCGCGAGAACCACGTCTTTGAGATACTGCAGGCGATAGGTGTAATGGATTTTCCGCTTGATATTCTCGTCTTCAATCTTGACAACCTCTTTGAATTTGGATTCGTCGTCGAGGTATTGTCGGTGGTTGGCTTTGTGCAAGGGAAAATCCGGGTCGTCTGCAAGAAGTCAGCAAGCATTGAGGCAGGGTAGTATGTGGTGACACTGACATTCTAGGGCTCCAACAACTCCCAGGACAACGGGGTCTGTCACGACGTATTCGATAATGGCAGTGTCGTTGAGTAGGATGAGCATCTTCATGATGCTGCATAGCCGGTGGAGATCCGATACGCTTTCGAGGTCTTCGGCCATGTCGACGAGCGGAATCAGTTTCGGTATGTAATCCTGAGCAAGGATGAATTTGGCGAGGGCTTCTCGCCCTCCTGGGGTAGAGTTTGCGGCACGCATGTGGTTTTCAATCTCGTGAAGGTTGCCGAGATCTGGGTTTGGGAGAAGTATGGGACTAATAGGGTCCAAATCGTCTGAGAGACCATCGTCTGGGTCAGCATTAGCCTGCTTGAAGCTATATGGATGGTCCAACGTACCTTGTGCTAAAGCCTGCAATCGCGATTGCACTTCGTTAACAAAGTCCCTATATGGAATCAGCGCGTTGCTCAATTGACCGAGGCAGTGGATGCCTACCATATGCTGGCACAGCCCTCGGGCTCCTGAAAGCTGAGGGCCATGTCGGTGCCATTTTGCTCAGTCCATACGATGAGGGTATCTATGGCGGATTAGCTGCAGGCTTGTGTTTGGGTAGCGCATGGCACGCGCATACCTTGCTGTTTCTGATAGCCATCATCCTTGGAGATGCGCGTTTCGAGGAGCTGTCGCGACTGGTCATCCTCGGACAGGACTACAATCCTTGCTTCCTCCTGCTGTCGAGTGACACCAGTTAGCATGTGTGAACGGCAGATATGGGCGTGAGCGTGGGCATGGACATGGACATGAGCGCAGGCGCGGGCGCGGGCGCAATGGGGCTACACGTGTAGCGGGGAGGTGTTGTGGCGAGGAGTGGGGAGACGTACATTTGCTACAACGCCCTTGCAGAAGCCGGTGCCTCTGTCGAACCAGTCATTGTTCTTGAGTTCGTAGACTTTGACGCGCTTCCGTTCGCTCGCCGGTGGTGGTGCGACGGTTGCCATAGCCGGGGGCGGCGTGTCGACAGTCTCCGGCTAGGGCAGAGGACCCTCCGGAGGGACGGCGCGCTGTCGCGATGGCTTGCGCAAGAGGGCGGGGGAGCGTCGGCGATGGGGGGAGATGGGGGGCGGCGTGGTGTTGTGGTGGATGCGGTGCTGGCAGATGCGGGTTAGGAGGCTCGGCGACGCTTGTGGGCTGGCGCAGCGGCGCGGCGGCGGGGACGCGACAGACGAACACTCGACGATGAGCCAGCGTGGGCGCGCAACAGTAAGCCGGGAAGTCTGCGATGGCGGCGTGACAGGCAAGGTGATCAGCCTCGGACACTTTTGCAGGCGCGTCGTGGGTCGCAAAGTGGAAGCGGGAGAGCACAGGGCCAGGCTTGGGCACAGTGCATGCACTAAGATAAGAGCCTAGACCCGAGTGGCGGCACCAGAGCCTCAACACCACGCTGAACCCTGGAGATAGCGGTGATGGCTGCGTGGGCGAGGGCACGAGGCGGCGACGGGTTGCGGGGTGCTTTTGCAGCTGTCCGGCGCTGCGAGCGTGTGGAATGAGTGTAGCTGTCGCCGCCCATGGCCAGATACGCGCTCGCCTCACTGACGCAATCCCCTTGGCGCTGCTGCTCATCAACACCATGCAGTGCTCGTTCATCTCGTTGTATCTAGTACATATAACTATCTACATGTACATACGTGCTGGTGTACATGGCACGGACAGTGCCCGCCTGTCGCTTGTCACCTTGCTGCATCCACTCACCCACGCACTGTGCGTACCGTTGTCGTCGTCTGCTGCCCATGGCAAGAGCAACAGCAGCGGAGCAGCCACCAAAGGATGCAGCCTGTGTGTGATCCGGTCATTCCGCTCCTCGTGCCCATTCACTCTTGCGCGATTGCAGCTCACCACAATCCAATACTCCCACGCCGCCCCCAGATTCCCCTGAGATATATTGTCATGACGTCCCCAGCCAAGCCACGCGATCGACTTGCCCGGCCCGCTCTGCATGGACGCAGTGCTGCAAGGCTGCGGTCCCAGTCGGGATACAGGTATTATACGTCGTACACATCTACTTCGATAGTACTGCTAATATAGCCGCAAAAGCATCATCATCATCATCATCAAACATTATCCAAAACACCCTTGATGGGCTGGAGCCGCCTGGCCTGCTGCACTACCAACAGCACGTGTGCATCCATGTATTGGCAAGCTATTCACCTAGTACTCAAGTACACAAGTACGTACTTACGTAGCCATGTACACATGCAGAGTACAGTCTACACATGGCGACTCGTCACCAAAAGCATGCCGTCGCTATTACCCCGGCTGGCGTCATGGCGAGCCCGGCCTCTAGCCAAACGCTTCCCCATACATACCACGTACATGCGCCATCTCAATCTCGCCAGCCTCTGGACTATTAGGGCAAGCCTGGCCACGACGGATACTATGGATTCTGTTCTTTTTGGTCCGCCTGGGGCCTCGTCGTGCAGAATTAGGCCGTGGGTGCGTGGGGGCAGCCAATGGCCAGGCGTACAGCATGGCGCCACACGCCCGCGGTCATTGCCGCATTCGTTTTCACATGGCTGGTGGTGCGGCCAGATTCATTTCCCTTGTATTTGCAAGCTGAGCTATGCTGGCCAGACGCCAAGCAGTCGTGGGTCGTTATCTTCGCTTGCTAACTCTATTCAGCCCTCCAGCCTGCGCCTCGAGCATCGGTGCCGTATCTGAAGCGCTAGAAGCAGCGGCGCATGGGTGCAAACCCAGTTACCACGCTATCCAAGCGCGACCCGCCCGTCTGTTGAGACATGAATATCCACTATAGATTAGACGGCCTGCTCCCTTAAGCTGCCTCTTGCAGTCCCGCCTGCTCCGGTTCTGCACCCATCTTGCACCGTACAATCTTGCCCATAGCAATAATAATGTCGAATCTGTCCGTCTTGACCCAACTACAAAGCACATCTACCGAGCCTTTCCCCCCCGTCACCCTCACAAAGCCACTCAGACCAGTCTCTGCGCCTTGTCCAAACTTTTCAAAGCCCATAGCAGCCGACCCTCCACCGACAACTGATTCGAAGTCCGTCAGCGCCGACCAAGTCCAGGCCAGACTCAAGGCTCACCGGAGATCCGTCGGCGCCCATGAAGTCCAGGCTAGAATCCAAGCTGCAAGAAGAAGCTTGACTGCTGCACAACCCCCGACTGAAGCTTTTCAACGCAAACTCGACCAGTCTCCTGATCTCATCCACCCAGCTTTGCGCGCCAGGAGCGGAGTGACGCCAAATGGCGACCGCGCTCGTAGCCTCAAGTCGAGAAGCAAGCAAGATCAATCCATTGATGCAGTCATACGCCGCTTGTCAGCCGAAATCGATAGCGGACATCTGAACCTTGCAAGAGATGTGCCTCCAGTGCCTGCGTTGCCCGCATTCCACTCGCCTGTATCCGGTCGTCCGCGATCATATCAACCCGCAAGTAGTAGGTCTTCTGTGACGAATAGACGAAGCCCACTTTCGATTGTGTCATCTGCAGATGGTATGTAGGGCAAACTCAATCCTACGCGTCATGTTGGACTGACAGTTGCAGACTCGGAGGAAACTCCATGCCATACCTCTGGACAGACCTCGACGCAAACATCAAGGCAGACATCGAGGCGATCCTCTACCTCAGCCTCGTCTCGTACGCACCTTATCCCTGCCAATCTATGAAATTACTCACACGCTACACAGAAACCTCCAAATCCGACGACAGCAACGACCTAGATGATGACGACAAGCCCGCAAAGATTCGAGTGATCAGCCTGGAATCCCACAAAGCAGGCCACGTCCAACAGCAACAACAATCCGCACGTCAGCCCTCGCCTTCATCATCACAACCAAACATCTCTCACTCCAAACCCCAACGGGTCAAGAGCCGCAGCCCGTGGCATTCAATTTCGCGACGACGAATACTTTGCTTTGTTTAACGACTACCCATCTTGCGCCATGTTTTTTTTGTTTTGTTTCTCCATGTCCATGTACATACAAGGCCGCGCGGGCCACAAACATATATTTTCTTGAGTGTTTATTTTTACGGTCATAGCGGCGCACAGTATACTCGGCCTTGTTCTGGCGCTGATTTGGTTTCTGCATCATGAGCCTGTTGGATTTGAGCGACTACAGGGGGCATAAATAGCGCGGGAGTTTTGGCGTTTTCCTACGTGTTCCAATAGGCGAGATTACTGAGCGTTTTCTGTCGCCAAAGCTGACGACTAGCTACACACATACATGGATAGATAGCACGCACGCAACAATGCACATGTCGGCAATTGCACAATCCGCATTGCCTCGCTTAACACAGTTGTTCTCGACATAAGCCTTGATAGCGCTTTCAGAATATTGGAGCAGCTGAGGGCACATAATCAGTAAGTACGTGTCCCCTGTTCTGGAATCCGGGCTTGCTAGACCCATGCAAGCCACCAGCCACACACGGGACGCCTTCCGAACCCGGCCACAATAATAGCACACTGCCAAATCCAGCCCAACGATGGGCCAATTGTAGCCAAAGGCACCATTACAGCCGCCTCGAAGAGGTTAGAGGTTGGTGTCAGGGTGCGGCGTTCCCGAGCCCATCGCGAGCCCAGGCAGCCACGCAAAGGAGAACGTGCGCACGGCTGCAGCTTGCTAAGTTTGAGTATCCAAGTGCGTCTCCAGCTGGGCCTGGAAAGGGCACATTTGGAACCAGAGCATCGGCAGTTGGGCCAAATGCCGAAACGCTTTCCAGATGGTCTGCCGACGAAAAAGCACACACAAAGTCCCTTGGGCGCCGTGCATGAGGGCGGAAACTGGTTCGGGGTCTCTGACGGCGGTGCACGCACAACACAGACTAGCAAATGGTGCCGACTGCGCGACCCGCTCGAATGTCCGTTGAACGTCCGCGACAACGTTTGGCCTAGCGGTAAAAATCCCCTTTCCGCGAGCTCTTGATGCGCCCAGCAAATGGGTACGTGACACTTTGAGAGTTGACTCGCTAGTGATTTGTCAAACTCTCCACCACTTTGCCGAGGACACATCAGCGGGACTACTGGCAGACACATAGCGCCATGTTCCCCATGACCTGGTCTAGAGTACTATAGCCGGGGATTAAACTGGCTAATCCTACGGTCCCAGATTCGTGACACACCAGGAACCCTGTAGCACGTCATGTCCAGGAACAAGTCAGTAGTGCATTACGACAACCGGATTTGACCAGAATGCGACTAAGACTGCCATGGTAAATCAAGCAAGCCATCAATTGGGATCATCTCACCTATCTCGGGCCATGTGTACTTACCTTAGCACAGTAGGAAAACAGAACATGCCACTGATACGAAAGTGAGTGCAGCCACCCCCCACAGCTGCATGGTCAGCCCTGCCCGCCGCACGAGCCATGAAAATCCCGAATGCCTGGTGAGCATCACCATAGCGAGATGCACAGACCGCCTTTGGGCCTGCTATCGATAAGGCCTCGAGCTTGGCAACCGTGACTGACCGGAGCTCCTTCCTGTCATACTCCACACTCCATCTTTACGTCTCTTGTGTCCCAACACGCCACTATGAACCCGTCAGAGCGCACAAAAGAGGCGCTCCTCGGTATGTTTCCCCAGCCTTTCCCCGCACAAGCGTGAGGCTAGTGTAGCAGCACAACCTGGCCGCCCAAGTCATCATATCCCCCAATACCTCGATTCGAGCCCTTGCTGATGCTACCTCAGCAAAGACAGAAGCATTATGCAAGTCCATTGTGGACAGCCGTAAAGATGACCCCTGGGGCGGTGATGGCTATCTATCTACTATACTCCGGACTGTCAAGATGCACGAAGCCACTGACTACTCGTCGGTACTAAACAAGACCGAGTATGAGCCTGCACTGGATTACTCAACCTCGGCACACAAGGAACTGCTGATCAAAGAACAAAGCGCTGCATTGGTAGGTCATGTGCGCGTGATTTCGCTCAAAGCATTGCCCACAGCTGCTATTCTTGCAAACAGTGCAACCAATGCTCTGCTAACACCAACGAATAGATCAAGACCGCTCAGGACATCTCGACCCTCATTCGTGATTTGCAGGAACTCTGGCTCTTTGGTGGCCTTGATACCCTCGCCGATCCTTCAGATGAAGAAGCAAACCGCAAGAAAGCTTTAGCGGTTGCAGGGATGATTGAGACCTTAGCAAAACAGGGGCCTACTGACATGCGAAAGAACGACGCCGACCTAGTCAAGGAGGAATCAAACGGCAGAGGAGACTCATGAACGTGGTAGCATTTGATACTCGGTTGGGTGGCTCGTTAAAGCTAAAGTACGATGAGAAGGCGATTCGAGAACTCGCTCTACACTCCAAGAAAAAAACACTTGCATTGCGGGGCTACAGAGTCAACACGAAGCCGCACGAATGTGTTCCTCATGGTGTAGCTTTCCCAAGTAAAAGGCATTCCAAGCAGCTGCCATTACGAATGACCTATTTGCATAGATGGGTAGTATGGTGAACGGAGTGACTTCCTAGTGGCCCAGATTATGTTGCCTAACAATAGCCCGCCACCATTGAGCTAGGCATACCATCACCCTGTCGAGGTAGAATAGCTATCTTGAAAGGCATAGTGATTGTTGTCGATAATGAAATACAAATTTTCTGCCCGGCGCTTTTGAAGGGTTATTGAATCAGGTGAGATGCTAACACATCAACTGCAAATCTACAGTGCATTGATTCACAATATCTCAAGCTTTTGAAACAAATTCTGTGCGTGTATATTGCCCAAGTGCTATAATATGGCGCTGACATCATGTGCACTTGTTAGCCAGGCCGTTGGGAAGAGTTTAAAGTTCTCGGGTCCAGGCTAGTAAAGGTGTGTGAGGTCTTCCTCCTCTTCTTTTCCCCCTTTAGACCGGATAAGGTTTAGACCTGATCGGTTGGGACTTGCACTTGTCGCCCGCGGGATCTCCGGTGAGATGGACCTTGTTCCGGTGCTGATGTGACTGTTGTTGAGATCCAGAAGTAGCTCCGTGGCGTTTGTGGCTGCTCGCAAGATGGGGATTGAATGGGCAGGGGTGGGCAGGGGCAGGACCTGTAACACAAACGATCGACAGGCGGGTAAATTGTCATGGTAACGCAAGATTTAATTCAATAGATGAATATCTGCAATATTGACGCCAATCCCAAACCACGCAGAGCCCCATTGATGCATACACGACTCCCGGGCCCTCCTACTCGTCTACCCTGATCTTCATGCCAAACTCATTCAGCGTATTCACGTATTCGTCACCTAGTGTCGCCGGCGTCAAAATACCACCTCCCAGCCTCCCAGCCTCTGTTTGGTCAAGCCTCCCCCTGAGCATTAGCTTGGCAGCCGCGCTCAGCGTAATGGCCGTCGCAACATAGCCACCATGAGCGACTTCTAGATTCGCGACTACCTTTTTTCCATCTTCGGTACAGCCTACCCCACGGTAATGCATAAAGTCCTTCTTCATGCTTTCCTTGGATGGCCCCTGGCCCGGACTGGGAATCACCATTTTGAAGAGCGGCTCCACAACCCATCTTGTTGGGGGAAAAGCGAGTAAGATGGAGATGGAGGTAAGCACCACTTTCTGAGCGAGACCAACAAAAAAGCTTGGTGCGCGCGCGTACTCGTTGAACCGGAATCGGGGGCCGTATTGCAGTGTTGCGTCGCTCGAGGATTGGTACAGACCCCATGAGCGGTGTGCAATGCATTCATCAACGGGAGCCATCAATCCGGTGGTTTGAACACCGCCCAGCTCGGGAATCATCTTCAGGCCAACAAGACTATAAGGAAAGCTTCCTGCAGGCGGTGCAGCAACCTTGTCCGCCTTGACCGGCGACAACGAGTACGGATGCATTGATTTCGCTAAATGGCTGAGCGAATAGTTTTTAAACAGCTCAAGCATGGTAAGCGAGGTGCCGCCACTAATTCCAGACTTGAATCTGTACAGCGTCATAATGGCGCGCTCGCATGCGACATTGTACCGCTTGCGCACCTCTCGCGCAAGCACGTACGCCATGATGTCTGCAGGAACAGAGTCAAGACCGCACTCTGGGATGATGATGGTCTTGTTCTTTTGAGCAAGCGCATCGTACTTTGCAATCATGTCGTAGATCCAGGGTACCTCGCCCGTTGAGTCGAGGTAGTGCGTGCCGTTGTTGACGCAGGCGGCGAGGACGGGCTCGCCATAGTGCATGAATGGGCCTACAGTTGTGATTACGAGTGTAGTCTTTTTGGCAAGTGTGTCGAGTTGGGATTGCTCGAGCTCGCAGGTTTCGATGACTGGGAAACGTCAGTTTTCTTTTTTTCTTTTCTTTGTCCCTATCACATGGTTTTGTCACCACGGGACATTTTCGTTACGTACCTGGCTCTTTGCGATCTGGCCTCAGTTCGGACAATTCCTTAACAACGCCCTGTAGCTTCTTTGCATTGCGCCCTGCGATGGCCCACCTGAGGTCGTCAGGCAGATGTGTCGTGATCCATTCGGCGACGAGTTTGCCCGTGTATCCAGTGGCTCCCAGGAGCACCAACTCGTACTGGCGCGATTCTTGAACCATTTTTCTGTAAAAATCCGTTGCTTTTTTCCCTTCAAAACAGAAAAGTTGGGTGGATAAATGATGGGAACTGAGTGGTGGAGGGAGGTGGTGTTATATCAATAGGAGCAAATTTCACATTCACGACTACAACTAACTACTCTTATCGGACATGACCCTTGTTTTGGTATGCTCTGAGGTCATGCCGAGGTAACCAGGCGCCGGCATGGACGATGTCATCCCTTTTTTTGCAGCGCATTCTTCTCAACAGTACGACACAAGCAGCAAATGGAATGTCTTGTGTGAATACGCCAAAGTCTAGCGATGGGATGCACGGTATATCTGTGTGCCGGACGGCTCGAAAAAGGGTAAGCTGAGGGCCTGTCCAAGTGTACCTGGCAACAATGGTTCATGTCACAAGCGGTTAGTGGGCTTGGCACACAGATGCTGGAATCGAAGAATACCCCTCCGAATCGACGGGCAGCAAAATTCTCCTCACCGCTGTCCATCTTCTTCTTCTCCACCAGGGCTGTCACGATTCCCGACTGCGTGCCAAACAAGATTTTGCGGCTTTTGCGCCCGTTTTTACCGAATTGGCTGCAGCGCATACAAAGAGAGCTGGGTAACCTGGTCAGCAAGCGCGGTTGGTGGAGACTAGAAGATGTTTTTTTCGATTCAACAATCATCCATTGCCTTGCTGTGTCGCTAACCTGACAGCCATGTGTAGGGCAGCTAGGATAGATCTAGTGTGCGATTTTGAGTGGCTGTCTGCAGGCTTCACATTATTCGTGTTGCGCAAGACGATAGCTGTAGAAATATGGTAAGAGCCACGCGTTCAACTTCATCGTCTGCGCGGAGAGAGAGAGAGATACACGCACACAAAGGCTGTCGAACGCAAACCCCCCGAAAATGATGATGCGAAGATAATGATTGGCAGTGCCAGGACCTGCCCGATTTTCGCATCGCACTCGTACGTGTTTTGCATATTGCATGGGCTGGCATTGACAGTTCTGCGGAGAATGTACCTGAGACGGCATCACGATACTAAGTATGCACCAAGGACTGGGCATAGCTGCAGTAGCTTCCGCTGTCTTATCTGCGCATCTCGAGTGGCCGTCCGGCATCCAGAATAGGTCATTAGACTCGAAAGGTTATTATCAATGTCGTTTACAGTATCACCTTCCGCTTGCAAGACTGCGTATGCACATTGGGAAGACTCTAGTACCACCCTGGACATAGTCGGAACCCATAACAGAAGCACCTTAAGGCCTCGGTGCTACATCTAGAGAAGCGAGCGCAGCATAGCAGAGCGGCCTGGCTGAAACATGTTTGCCTTTCCGACTCACCACTGAGCGACGTGGGCAAGTCACATGTGCACATCCGCTCAGGGTAGCTGGGCACGTAGTGAGGTACAGTAAGGAACTCTGAAGACTGACTGAGCTTTTAGGGCTGCAACAATTGGGCAGGCTGACGGCATATACATAGAATACGATCAGACAGTACAGACCCAAACTGGACTCTGTACCCACTTAGTGCCCCTCCACCAAGCACCTGTCACGAGTTTCCGGGGTTGGCGCGACTGCCTGTCGAGTGTGGCTGCTGCAGGGTAGTGAATGATCAATGATCCGCCGGCCAAGCCACTAGCGTCCGCGTACTTAAACCACTGTCCCCGCTCTATCTACTTGACCATCTTCCCAACTTATGAATCGCGTCGACGAGTACATTCGTTCCTTTACTTCGAAACACGACACCAATGGCCGAGACGTGCATAGTCTGCCTCGGCGATCTCGTCCCCCGAGACGACGGCCCTACCGCCACCGTACCACCGCTCGCGATCAACTCCCTTGAGAATAGTGCTGATGTCCCAGCCGGACACCAACACGATGCCAAGAACAAAGACGTGGTCATATCCTCTGTCAAGGACGAGGACATGGTAGCACATTTGCTTCCATGTGGCCACGACCTGCACAATGACTGTCTCAAGCCATGGGTCGAGCGAGCGAACAGCTGCCCTATATGCCGAGCCAGTTTCAACATGGTCGAGCTCAGCGCATGCGTTGGAGGTATGTTTGTCCTGGATACTACGGAGCTCTGCAGTCATGACGTTGTTTTCGTTGCCTGGTAGTAGCCTGGCTACTGGCTAAATGGTCAGTCGAGCACAACACAACTTCTGCCCATCCTTACGCTGTTGCACCGCAACACATGGACTCGAAACGACGAATCGCTGACTGAAATTTGTATAGGCCCTAAGATTTCCGAGTATGCCGTTCAGGACAAGCAGCAAGTCGCAGATATCGATCCATCCATGATTATCGAGGAGGACTATACTCTCGAAGATGATGGAAGTTACGATGCATGTATGGTTTGTGATGAGTTTGGTGACGCGTCACAACTCATGTACTGCCACAGCTGCGAGCAACTGTGCCATGTCTTCTGCGCTGGGCTTGACCGGATGCCCTCGCGTGGCCCCTGGTACTGTCAGGGCTGTGTCGAGAACCCCAGTTTGCTCGAGGCTGCATCCAGACGACGACCTGCTATCCGAGGCCCGGCTGCCTGGATCAATGGTAGAAGCCGTGTGCCCCGCCACAATCAAGCCCCTGATGAGTGGGTAGGAGTCTGGCAGAGCGTTTGGGACCGCCTACAGTTCGATATTGAATTTCCCTTTGACGAAGAAGAGCAGTCCGAGAACCAATCCGACGTTACGCGCCGCGAGGATCGCAGATGGGAGGAACGCATGCGTGTAGCGCGGCGGGCAGGAGCAGGCAATCGATTCCAGATGGTCACTGATAACGTTGTCACTGGAAGGCGCCGCAACTCCAACCTAACAGCACAGCCTATAAACCGAACACTACATCGCGACCCGCCAAAAACGCCAAAAGACCCTGAATCACAGGAAGAATTACGCGCATGGAACCAGTTCGAAAAGGCTCGTGAACAACTCGCCCAGGCCGAGGCACAACCTGCACCCAGTGTAGCAAGCACAAGCAGTCGACGGGCACGCAAGCGGAAGTCTATTGATTCTTCTGCAGAGTCGGAGCCTCGCGAGCAGAAGCCAGAGCGCAAGTTGAAGCGTCCTCGGACACGTATGCATGTGGACAATGGGGAGTCGTCAGCAGCTGCGG